TAGATAGTTTACAGATCGCTGAACTTCTTCAGTGATCCTTGATTGTTGTCAGTAGCGAGTGATACATTCAGTAGCTACACCTTCGAGTTAAGAAGAGCTACCACCCAGCAGTTCTACGTACTACGGCTAAGTTAGCCGCAGTTCTCCGACAATCACCTTATTGTTTTCCGTCATTCGACGACCCACTACGGCGAAGTTAGCCGTAGTTCCCCGTTGAGTATCCTGTCTCAGTGAGACATCGACGCCCCACCACAACGTAGTTAACCGAGGTTTGTTGACCGCCGGTCAGCCGAGAAGAAGAAACGACGTTTGTGACAGTAGGAGAAGATCGTACGATCATTCAGGTGCAGGATGAGCGGGAAGAGATTTCTGATGACGGGTCAGAGGAAGCAGATGAGAGGACAGAGTTGGTGTTTGAATGGGAAGAAGATGACGAGATTTATGGGACACAACATAATCAAGGAAGTGTCCAGGCTACAGAGAAACCGCTGAACATACTTCAAACTGGTGAGAGACCAAGTGTTCAAAGCTGAATGTCATTCACTGAGGCAGCAGAAACCATAGAGCCTTTAGACAACAGACTCCACATTGCAAGCAATGTCCCTCCTCAAGTCAATCCATCCGGGTTGGGTGGAACCGCTGGTGCTAGAACTGAAAATATCCACTCACGAATGAGGATACGACAAGAGGTAGTACAAAACCAGATGATAGCTCGATATGGTACAGATCACATACACCACGAGTATGAAAGTAAGGATCAAGTCACGCTATATGTCCCGGCAATTGACAGACTTGGTGCCAATGCTAGTCGGATCCCATGTCTAGTCCATGAGGTTTTTGACACCAAACCGAAAGCCTATCGCTTGCTATGTGAAGCTGGTGTCCTCAACCGACTTTATCAAAGCAAAGTAATTAATCCGGCAGAATTCTATGAGATCCCAGAATCAGTTCATCTCTCCCTCTTTTGATGGAAACAACAGCCTGTCATCTCCCTCAAGGAAGCAGCACGGAAAATCCTGGGTATGTCTTTGTAATTCTCAACAGAGTTTGAAATCTAACATTGTAGGTGTTTCAAAACGTGAGATTCGGTGTAGGTGTAAAGGCGACTGCGGCACAAATCAGTGTACCTGTCGCAAGAGAGGACTCAGGTGTTCGCTTTACTGTCACAGGGTAGAACGGGAGTGCTTGAATTTCTCTCGACTCACCGCCACAGAAAGGAATGTGGTCAATGCTTCCACAGATTCGGAAGGAGGAGAAGTGTCAACTCGGAAAAGTAGAGGGAGAAAGCAGAAACGTAAGAGGACCAGCAAGGAGAAAGAGAAAACGCCTGGTGCTCTTGAGGGTACGTCTTACTGGATGTTTGATCTGGAAATTGCTAACTGTCACGAGGACCAACAAACCAGCATTGGCTCGAAATAACAGTGCCCAACGTGACAGTGTTCAGGACATCTAAAACCACTGTGACGAAAAGGCCTATTAATTGGCGGTTAACTCTACCGCCGATCGCTGGTCAAATACCCTTCCCCGACTTTCGCTCCACTTGTCACACGCTTTGTGACACTACCATAGATAATGATGGGGAGGAGCATGCCTCTCAGTCTGCTCCTGACATAGAGAGGACTGAGGCAGAAAGCGACTCTACACAAGACACCAATTGGCCCGATCATTGTTCTGAATATGAAACTTGGAGTGATGGAGATGAGCGGGATGTACCACATGGGTTCTGGGATTCGAAAAGTCCACTTGAAGACTATCCTCGCTATTTTCCAGGGAAGGATGAACTTTGGTTAGCAGAGACATGGGAGGTGGATGGAAAGACCTGGGGTCTGGACAAAGAGATGCGTGCTCTAGTTTGTAAGTACAAGGTCTGGTTGTGGCGAGAGGTGATGATGCGCCATATGGCAGGCAGGAGAGGAATGATGCACCGAGGCTTTCGTGAGGAGCATGGAAAAGTGATGACGGATGTGCAAAGTGTGATATTGGCACGAGCTCATTTCAAAGAGAAGTATGGTGAGTTACTTATTGGGGAGCCCGTATAGATTGTTATGTAGGTGAAGCTCTTATGCATGTGATACCTTACAGCTTTGTGAATAGCTGATATTAATATCCTGTCTGGAACCCCAATATGACAGACGAGAGTAGTTTTTGCTTGTTGGCAGGTGAATGAGAATGACACTCCAAACCATGAAAATGTTGGTCATGACACTCCGGAGCGGCATGACCAAAGCTGTGACCCTCCGAAGCATCACGGGTCTTCAGTGGGTCATGAAGAGGGGTCTGGAAACCCGTGACTCTTCGAAGCAGCACGGCTTCCGTGCTTCACGTAACATATTCACTGTCCTGCCCTGCATCATTTGATAGATGTGGTTGTTTTGTGTCATTCTTGATCTGATACAGACAGATCTGAGCAATTATGATGAAAAATGATACCCAGACTTACATGTTTCACTAGTATATACTTGATGATAAGAATTACTGCCTATGAGAAGCAGCACTATGAATCACACAGAGAACAAAACAAACTTTGAACCATCATTCATTCCTCACTCACTATCAGTAACAAACTTCTCCTTCTGGGATTGAATCATTGTTTATAGTGTGTCTAAGGTTTGAGAGCTTTCCATCCCCTCATCCTCTTCACTCACACTCATCATCCTTGCCAAGACCTTATTCACCCCCTCTGCTGTTCTCAAATATATCTCTGACATGGCGATAACATCAGAAGGTAGTGTAAGCTCCCTTGTTGAATACAATATGGGACCAGCTTCTTTTGTAACGTCAAACATGGCATCTGCCTCCTTTTCTGGTAGGTGCATGTCCGCCCTTATCATACACCACATCACCTGCTCACTTATGGCCCAAAACTCGCGGCAAGAAAAAGACATAGTCCCCGGACGTACATACAGATCTTCAAGATTACTTTTCAATTTCTGTTGAAGTCTGATGTATTCACTCCATGGTGCTTCATGGAAAGAAGTTCTTCTGCTCCTCTCTTCATTTGTGGCAAGTCTCCAAGAGGGATCCAACTCGATAGATTCTTCTGTCAAAGATGGTGGACAGACCAAGTTGATATGAGATAATTGATTTGAAGGATAGATATTTTCTCGTAGGACTAACCTTGTGTCTAATTCTTTTCTGACTACATCATGTACTTCAGAGAGACAAGCAAGTATATGATATGGAGAACCGGATTTGCCTTTCTCATAATAATCATATGGATCCTGAGGTCCAATTTGTTCACAATATTGTTCAAAATAAGTAGCAGCATCTACATCTTCTCCTGGCCAACCTTGAGGTGTAGATTCCCAGATTGAATGTCCTTCTTCCCATGCGTCCCAAATAGCTTCTCTCAAAGATGTGATGGTTCCCGCTAATTGGATATCATCTGGAAAGTAATGTTCAAATAAGACTTCAAGGGTTTCAAGACCTGTTGTAGAGGTGAAGGATTCCGGGTCCAATGTATAAGCTGCAACAGATGACATTTCCGAGAGACCGTGTATTCAGTGACGTGGTTTAGTGGATGATACGATAATTTCGTGTTGATAGAGAGTAAGTATTGAAAGTGAGATGTCAAAGATGGACAGTGAAATAATATGAAAAATGGGAAGAAGTAGACGTGATCATGTCAAATGGATTTGGCCTAGAGTTCCTTTCTTCCAATTCATTCTCCACTCAAATCTCCTGATGTCAGAATGACACACGTAATACGTGATTCACTCTGCTACGTGTATGATGGATAAAAGATAAAGGAGAAGAAATGTTGTCAAGTGATTTGACATGCACTGAATTGTCAATCAGCTGCACAAAGCTTTGGCTCCTGATGATATGATGTGGAGGATGTCTGTATGGCTTTTTATATGATTAGGCCGTATCTGAACAAACATACTTGATATTGTGAAGCAAAAGCAAATGGGATAGTATGAGTACTCATACTCTGATTGTCATGTGCTACTCCGATCACACACCTCTCATAAATTCTCTAATCACAAAAAACCTTGGTGTCCAATACCATCAGGATCACGGGTACCTAAGACAGTTTCCTCAGTCTTAGGTACCTGTGATCCTGACAAATACTGTATGTCCATGAATATTGACCCTTACTCTTCTCCCCCTTCCTCTTCACTCACACTCATCATTCTCCCTAAAGCCTCATTCACTCCCTCTGCGCCATTCAACACCATGTTGGACGCGAGTTCCACTCCAGCTTGCCCAGTCTCATATACGGTCAAAGTCCTGCCTACAGTCTCTCCCAGAGCTCTAAGACTCAACTCCAACAACTCCCCTTCCACCCATGGTAACGACTCATTAGTCTCTTCCCAAAATCGGGCTACACCAGAACAACTCGTGATAAACGCTGTAAATGTTTTCTCATCAGGGTAATCCCTTAATTCCCGTTGCGTAGATATGTATGATTGCCATGGATCCGCGTTGAACCACTCTCTTCTAACACGTTCAGCTGGAGTCGCGGCTCTCCAGTTCGGATCGGCGAAGGTGACAGGGGGAGGAACGAGGTTGATATATGGGACCCGATCGGAAGCAGGAATTTCTTCCCGGAGTACAAAAGTTGTATCGATCATTCTTGTTATGACTCTTTGTTGTTCTAGACGTGTTGATTCTATAACACCAAGAGTGGCTGACGGATCCATGGAGTGTGATGTGTCAAGCAAGGCCCTCAGGTTAGAGTTGATAGTGTTGGTGAGATGATGTATGAGGGTGACCGCGTCAGATAGGTATCTATCTTGAGGATAGAGGAGAGAAAGGTCGCTCAATACGCTCCATCCATTTTCGAAGTTCACTCTTCTAGGGTCCAAAGTATATGCCTGGATGTAAGACATGGTAAAGAGGTGATTACCTGACTTGGGAGCGACTTGAGCAGGAAAAATGTGATTTGATAGAAAGAAGGATCGTACTGAGGTTAGCGAAGAAACCCAAGGGTCACACCGCGCACTTTATATCAGTACACTTCGCTTATGGAGCAAGAGGAGAGATACGAGTACACGTGTCAGATTGTCAGTCCGAAGAAGAGATTGATTAGTTCCTTTTATTTTCATATGGGTGTCTTCTCCAAGACGAAGAGTCAAATGACGAGCTCGTGTGTCAAACTTGTAACATCGTGAATCGCGTGATATGTCGTACAGTATCTCTCCCTTCCTTTCTTCTCTTATCAGCAGCAAGTCAATTGCAATTTACTGAGCGAGTTTTGATTTACGGCCGGAAAAGGGGCAGGACGAAAAAGGGAAGGATAAGTGTAACACAACAATGAAACATGTATGATACAACACACCTTACTTATCTCATACAACCAAACCAAGAGCCAATATTCATCCAGCCCCTCTTCCTCTCCCACTCCAATTCCCCGCTACGGCCCCAGCTCTTGCACTCACCGCTCTGAGACCATCCCGAGCTTGCTCAAGATATCCCATCGCGCCATATTCTCTGGTGAACACCCCAGGGGACATACTCCGATCTCTACTTTCTCTCCTGTCCGACTCGGGGACGAGAGATGGTGCTGCCAGTGGAGGAGATGTACGACGGGGAGGGGAAGAAGGGGCGAAAAGTTCTGCTGGGGATGGTGGTGAGATGAGTATCTGTTGTATGAGTGATATACTCTGTTGGTCGATTCCATCTGAGTTTGCGGGGACTCACTTGATGAGAAAGAAACGCGCTCTGATCACATTAGCTTGAATCATTCGGTACCGAGATACAGTTTGTAATCGTGTTCGGAGGTCGAGTAAGGGACATGACGATTTGGTTAGGAGAGATAAAACTTACAGAATTCCCAGATAACGGAGGCACATTACCCTTCTTCTCGGCACAGAAAGTAAGAGTCTGCAATAATGCCGCATGTAAAGATTGATTCGTCGATCTGGGTGAGTTGGAAAGATGAACGGTGATTAAGTGTTCTTCCCACGGAACGAGTTCCTACGCGTCAGCGTTGGTCGGGCATCCCAATATTTTATGGACATTATCGTACTCATCGGAACTGTACGAGGTGGAGAGTGATATCAGTAGACATGAGTTTTCGGAGAATGTAACCATCAGACACTCCACAACAGGTGAATCAATATTCAGCTAGGCAGGACGGGAGCAGTGGCGGTGGCGGGGTTGAGAGGTGGGAGGAGTGTATACCAGTAGTCAAGCGTGTGAAGAGAGTGATGAGGATGATAGGGAACGATGCAAAACATACCTCAGTAGTAGCAAACCATCCTTTCTTAGGTCTACGTTGTAAGAATATGACTGCTAATTGTCCTTCTGATTGATTAAGAAGTACAGTCTCTTCATAGAATTGGTCAACTTTGGTATTGATATCTTTCTCCAAAATGGGATTCGGTACAGAAGGCTATATGGTTAATTACACTCTTTCCTCCATAATCCCTCTCTCTTCCTTCTTACATAAGACCATCATGTATCTGTCTTCAAAGTGAGAGTAACCCATGAAGACATCGAAACGAGTGATCAAGCTTATCAAGGGGACGATTTGCCAGGACTAGATCTTTTATGAGATTAGGGAAAAAGAAGAGCAAAACAAAAACGGTAAGCTGGAGATAACTCACTACGTGCACATCCAGTATTTCAAAAGTTTCCGGTTGGACATTATCCAACAAACGATGAAAGAATATCGCATGTAATAATGCTCGAAGGGTGGGTTTCAATTGAGATGGTGTGACGGTCTGTCCGTCAGTCGACATCCCTCATTTCCTTGTTCACACCTGATTTCTCAGATATTCTAGTCGGATACATAGAAAGAGGAGAGGAAGGAGTGAAGAGATGACATACGAGTTCCAAGTTGTTAACTATATTGTCCATGATGAATATGATAAGATAAAAGGTGAAGAAGAAAGTTGATGTCGAAAAATGGTTTCCACTTTTCTCTCTTTCCTCATCTCCCTAACATCACCCTCACCTTTCTATCCAACTTACTCCTCCTTGATACAAAGTCCTATCGGAGACTAGATGAGTAGATAGTGGGAGAAATGTCCAATGTCATCAAAAGCAAGGTTGACACTACAACATGTTGGTATCTCATCATTACCCCTTCCCCTTCATCCTTCCATCCCATCCACCTTTTTACATCACTGATGACATTTGCTTCCCCCCTCTTCCACTCCTTCTCCCTTTTTGTCCCTACCATTCACCACTTTCTTTGTACAACTGACGACTAACTTATCATATACCTAATCTTACATCATATCGTCATTATCTCACAATGATTTCCAAGAATAAGTATTGACCCTCAGTTCTTACTCCAAACTTCCATTCTTCGAGCTTATCGTTCTGCCATCCGATCTACCCGTCGTATGTTCCCTCCTTCTTATTCCTCCTCCTCACTCTTAGTAAGGAACAAGTATTGACTCGTAGCATTACCAGATTCTCAAACCAGAAGAGAAACATTAGATTTTTTCAGAGGAGAATTAGATAGGTTGAGGAATATAACCGATATAGTGAGTTTATAAACTCTTCCTGCTTCTTCCTTCATTTCGATTTTTATCCTATACTCTTACTCTGTCTTGCGTTGTCTTTCGTCTCGTATCGTTCTCTCAATGTTTCACCTTTCTTCTTTCCTTATCCTCCAATGAATGAAAAAGTGTCCAAAACATGTTTCTATCCTATCTTGTACCTAAGACTATATCTTTAATTCTCTTGGTTCATCCTTCCTCTATGAACATTCCAATCCCCTACCTTCGAATTGATCGATCTTTCCTCTATGGACTTTTAAACCTACTATCATTGAAGATTGATTCGAAAAAATAGTAGTAGAAGTACAATCCTTCATCCCAAGCCCGTGATGTCGAGCAAAAATGTGGAGATGATGATGGATTGGGACTGACAGTAGAGAACATACTCAAATCAAATCTTTCAACATTTCAACGTACTACCAAATTCATGCTTCCTTCACTCGGTTTAACAGGTTTGAGTGGTTCCGGTTCTAAACTCATTGGTCAAAGACGATCTTGATGATCTCCACTTATGCCCCTTCATAATTAACATAATAAGGTCAAAACACAGGTCTCAATATTCCGATTTCTCTCCTTGTTATTGGGAAAATGAAACATTTATGATATTCCAAATGAACGTCCTCTCTAGGACATTTCTGTCTTTGCTCCAAATGGGATCGGCCAACGTTACGAGAAAGTGTCGATGACCATGTATGATTCGTTAGACTCCATACTTTGGTCGACTGACCGTCAATGGGTCGGTGGATGACTATAGAGTCCTCTAGGTAAAAACCTCATTATCATACCGTACGAGTACGAGTACGAATACGAGTATTCTGGATAGGATCATCATGAAGTAAACGACATGCATTACGTCGTTTTCTGAGATATGAGCTACAACCTTCACAAAACCCATCCATCACAACCCTTATATAATCCACTCAAAACTTTCATAATCTACTCTTATCTTGTATCATCTCCTGACTTTGTATTCTTTTGCCTTTGAGGTAGTGTGAAGTATCTTGAAAAGATCTCTACTTGTCATACAACTTTTCATCTCGTTTCTTTATGTTCATAAAACCAATTTCTCCTTTCTCCTCATTTGCCCTTTCTCTACCCCTTCTCACCTCATTGTTATTCCCGATAGGACACATCCTTCCCTCCAGAACTACCTTTGAGATATCTTCACTTCTTTATGTAGATATCTTGTCGGATGGTCTATGTTCGTGAAAATACCTGATACACAATCGAACGTTCCATCGAGGGGTTCTCAGAAAATAGACGTTTCACAAACACCTCATCATCATTGTGATCCTCTATACCCATGTGCCGGTCCAGCCTTCCCAAGTAAAGGTAACTTTAAAAATTGAACATGACCTTCATCGCTCGTGAATATAACTTGAGGTCTGGCATATCTCGGTACGGGAGCAGGAGGTGAAACATAACCCATATTTGGGATACGTCCAGGTACGGGTGGCATAGGTTTAGCAAATTGATTTGGGTTCTGAAATTGCTGAGGACGGAATCCAGGTGTAGGATGAGAAGGATGTGTTGGATGAGGTGGGTGTGAGGCATGTGGGGAAAGAGTGGAATGAGGTGGAGGTGGTGGTGGTTGATACATTAATTGTCGATTGGGTATTTGAGAAATAGGTGCGTTAATACGTGATGGTGGAGTATCGGCAAATAAACACGATATGTTATTTCCTGGTATTATTTGAACGAGGGCACCAGTTTCGACATGACGAACTTCAATGAATGTAGGTTCGAATGCTATCACATAAGGATATTGAAGTGCTACAAAGTCAACCAGTTATCAAAATGGGCGTTGATGCAGATTTCAGAATACAACCAAGGGTGATTGACATATGAAGCATTGAAGAGAAAACAAAAGTGGAGATTGTGAAAAGACTCACCGAATGCTGTTGGAACACCTTCCCATATAATCGCCCATTTGGGTTTACTCCTATGACCAGTTTTGTCGATGTAAAATGCGAATTCTGACTTTAGTCCGTGTCCCAATTGACGCGTACCTTCCCATCCCTCCCATCTTCAGCAGTGGCTGGATAGTTCATCGTATCAAGTTTTACCAGTGAGCAAGTTATTGGGGTATGGAGAAGACATGAGCAGTCATCATCTAGAAGAGGTGAGGAATTTATTAGAAAGGAAAGGAGAGGGGGGGGGGGGGGGGGGGGGGGGGTGAGGGAAGAAGGAGAACTTTGACTCACCATCATAACATAACAAAAAGTCATCCATAATCCTATAAATCGCAATAGGTCTAACATTATCCCTTTTCAAAACAAAATCCAAACTTTGATCACTAGGATCCAACAAACCCTGCATATCCAAAGTTTCCAAATCGACAATTTCAAATCCTTTCGTACATCCAACACATAATTTTGTTTTTAAAAAATGTATACTACTACTTTCCGTCGGTATATAAAATTCTTTGAATAATTTTAAACTTTCATTTTGACCATTTAAACGACGCATAAAACTACCTTGTTGTTTCTTATTTCTCATGGTTTGATCAACAGGTTCGAGTACTTTGATGGTTGATGATAATGTTGAAGATTTAACGACTGCGACTAACATTTTCCCAAGACAAATACCAGATTTGAAGAATGAAGTATGTGATGATATTCTTTTACCACGTTTCAGAGCCGCGTTAGGATCGGAAGGATCTAGACATTCTAATGGAAAGGTGGTTACGCTACGTTCGTGTAGGACTATGAGGAGTTGGAATTCTTCGATAACGTCGACTTGAGTCACATCGAGAAGGTTTATGACTTTTACGGGTTCGCGGAGTTTTTCTTCACGAGAATTAGAGAAATAAACTCCTTCGTCGGTACCGTAAATAATACGATTACCTTGATCTGGATGTCAGCATGTATTGTATTATTCGATACCTTGGTATTCCCAAGAACATATATATATACTCCTCGTTCAAACACTCAAGTATTGTCGGTGGTCACACAAGCGACCATAGAAGGGAAGGGGCCGGGGAAACAGGCAATGATAGGGAGAGTGGAAGAGGGAGCAAGCAGAGACGAGTAGAGTGGAGGTGGATAAAAGAGAAGAGGAGGCAAGACAAGAGCTAAGCGGACAGAAGAGGGGGAATGAGGGGCGTGACACTCACCGTAAGGAGAAACACAATTGACTTTTCTCAACCCTCCAAAATAACCCTCCGTGATAGTTTCCGGTACGAAAACACAACTCCTATCTCTCAAAACACTTTGCTGCTTGTCGATATGTTCCAACCATTTTTTCCTACTCACATACGTATCTGCCCATAACTGCATGGTATACCCCTTCTTACCCAGATGAACTATGGTGATACTAAAACCATGTTTCGATTCCGGTTTCGGAGGCACGTGAGTTGCAGTGGTATTCTTATTCGAAGCGGAGGGACGGGGCATGAGTCTGGCTCTACTTGCAGAGAGTTTACCCGTGTTGTAGTGTTCATCAGGGGTGATGACGACTAAGAGTTCGAGTGGGATTGGCTGAGGGTTAGCATATGTGAGGGATGACATTGACAAACATTTTCAAACATGTGGCTGATAGTGGGGGTTCACGTATATGACGAAGACACTATAATGTCTAGGTTCAGGGTGGGAAGGGAGGGAAGTTCCAGACGAGCAAGTGGGAGACGACAAGTCTGGAAAGGTGAAGTGATATGGCAACGGAGCAGAGAGACAGAGGGGGGATGTGCAAGAGTTAAAAGGTCTGTAACTCACTCTCCTATATACTTTGTATTGTTCCGCCTTGTTGATCCATTTTGGTTTGACCAACAAAAATGCGTGGTCGAATAAGAACGCTAGCAAATCGGCAATTTCTTCTCTGCTACCTCCCCTCCTCTTCAATGGACCTTTATGGACCATTTGACGTTTCGTATCCCGTAGTCTGAGATCCTATCCGTCAGTACTGTCCCAAATCCACACCCTACTGAGGCATCACATCGAAGGGTTCCCATGGAAAGGCTCAGACTGGACGGCTAGGAACGAAGGGCTCAAAGCAGGGGGTTGTATTTGAACAGCTGGGAGTGGCACGCTGAGAATAAAACGTTGAGATGAAACCACCCAGTAAAGTCCTGAGAATGCGGAAATGGGCTGGAGAGAAGGGGTAATGACCGAACTCACGATATGTTCGTTCGGTCGGAACACCAACTGCTGTTCTAATTGTGCCAACTCGAAAATATTCTCACTCTTTCCACTCTCAATATTAACCTTATTCAAAAATCCCCTAATCAACTTGATAACTTCCGCCAAATCTTTCTTATCCTGATGATCATCCGGTGTATATTTCAACACAGCTTCTAATAACAGAGGATATCGACCAAGACGGGTCGTAGGTTTTGTGAGGTAACCGTTAAGTTCCAATTTACGTGACTCCGGTTTACGTTCGGTTTCCTGTAATGTCAACTTTATTTTTCTCGGAATCATCTTCATTCATCCTCTATTATCCAGGGAAACTGTAACTCATATCCCGACAATAAATTCTCTGACTGAGTTGATGTATTATACACCACGTGTAACTTAAGTGAGATATAATTGGAGATGCGGTGCCATGTCACCTAGAGGGATCAAGGGGGTTAGTGGTGCAACACGAGAAGAGGGAATTAGTGAGTGGAAGCGTCAAAGTTATAGGGTGATAGTGAAATATCTGAAAGACACACGACAAAGTGGGAGGAGAGGCGTATCAAAAGTGGCAGATGGCATTGTAAAAAGGGATAAACTTACATCGACGAATTTTTGAAAAGCCGCATTTGCACCTTTCTCCTTCTCAAACTCGTATTTTCCAAACAATTGATGAGCTCCGTAAGCTACAAACGGTTCGAACTTCGGTACCACTTCCAGGAATATATCCCCGATAGCAGAAACGACCGGCTGTTGTTTTTGTCTTTTAGTCAAACGTTCAGCTAAAACTTGATTGACATTGAGGACTTCGTGGACATTCCAGAATACTTGTTGGACGAACTTGTTTCTTACGACCGGGTCGGTGGAGATGATATCTTCTGAGCGGAGAGGTTTGACCCAAGACTGATTGTCAGCTTGAAGATTCCTCTTCTGATTTTCCATGCCGTGCATGTCACTATACCGACGCTGAGTGCTGAATAGCGATGAATGGCGTAGACGTTACTTTCGCCAGCATTGTTGACTATAGGAGAATAGACTATCGTACACGATAATCCTTATACAGATGTGCAATGTGAACGTGGATTGATGGCTGGGGACGGTCATGCGGAATGCGGTCGCGTGGGGTGAAGGGGCAAATGCAGGAGAGAGATAAACTAATGAATTGAACAAGAGACAAGCTCACATCTCTGAGATACTCCAAATCCCTGACAAAATCCCGTTCGGTGTACATGACCTCATTGATAGCTTCTTGACGTTTCTTCTCCGTATCATCCACACTATCGAGGATTTCTTGTGAGACGGAATGTATCCATAAGCTGCCCGTGGCCTGATATAGTCAGTATGAGTATTGCCTGACAATTGTCCTGTAATCTCCGTTCCGCAACCTCCTCAATCCTTTGTGGCCGCCGTCCCATCCTAATCTCATGGTTCTGCTGAGAAAGGAACTCCGTAATAAGAAACGCTCAGAGAGGTGAACAAGAAGGCGAGGACAGGTCGACAGAGTAAGAAGAGAAGTGGTTGCAGTAGGAGACACAAAAGAACCACTCACAATGACATCCTTCAAACTCTCATTACTCAACTTCCTACTTAAACCCGTTGGTTTCATATTCAACCTTTTCATCTGTTCCAACCTCCTTGGACAATTGATTGAATAACATAAACTTTCTTTACTACATGTTGGAGAATAACAATCCGTCAACAAAGTAAAAACTCCCATTGGTAAATCTTCTTCCTCCTCTTCCTCCTCACCTTCAACATTGGTGTTGATCATCTTTTGTCCGGGTGATGCGGGTGTATTTGAATTCGGAGTGAAAAAACTAGTTTGACTTTCAGAACCATGTAAAGTAGATTCTGATGTATAAGGTAAAGAAGGTCTTCTGATCCCATTTTCTGTCGATGTGGTTCTATATCCTACATGTTCAGAAGAAGGTGAATCCGTCACTCCGTTTGAACCAGGTATGAAAGGTACAGCTAATCTCTCTTTGAATTGATATACTTCTATTGGATTATCTCGTAGACGATGATCATATGTCACATCATGAAAGAATTTCTGTGAGTCCAAGGCCCGACCAAGGAGAAGAGCAAGATTTCGATCAGGAGTTTTGATGACATCTGATAAGATTGTGACTGCTGATCGTCCGTCAAAAGCATCTTTATAGGTGATACCATCTTTATGATGCTCTGATAAGATGATCAATTGTTTGAACGCTTCGGCCACTTTGGATAGCAGAGCAGGATAGACGTAGGGCATGTTGCGGAGTGTGGCCGCACGTACGGAAGAGGCAGAACGGTTGAGGGTCTGGGTCAAAGAGCGTTGGGATGCCATGGAAGTGGGGAGATGATATGAGGGTGGGGGATTCACAGTGCGGTGAGTCACGGATTTTGATCGGACAGCTTCTCGGGCAGCTTGACGAGCGAGGGTGGAACCGGAGAAGGAGGTGGAACGCAAGTCTCCGGTGGAAGATATAGGAGCCGCAGCACCGGGAGGAAGTTCGTAAGTGGACTGCGAAGGATGAGGAAGAGGCAGAGAATGCGTGGAATCGATAGATTTGCGATGTAGTCCGTGACGAGAGACAGCGTAGGTTGTTTCGGATCCAGAGGGTGTGGCAGGGGATACGATGGGAGATTCGGGCGCTGGAACTGTCGATGCTTCAATGGTCGATAAAGGTCTGTCTCGTGAGTTATATTCAACATGCTGGGTAAGTTTGAGTGCTGAATTAATCGCGCTCTCGGCCACGCTCAGCGGTAGGGATGATAAAGACGATGTACTCACGTTCTGTATCGCTGACTCATAGATGTCATAGTGTACCCACTACTGGCGATGGAAGATTCTGAACCCATCCGTCGATGACCACCACCATCAGTCGGTCTAGATTCATGTGGTCTTCTGACACCACGCAATGTGCCTATACGTTAGTCTTCGCACTGAGCCACAGATATGTTTGATGGGTGGAATGTGATGGTCACTCACTGGATTTGTCATCAGCATCTGAAAACTGCCCCGAGAAACTATTTTCGGCAGTCTCCCCTCTCTTCGGTATCCCAGCCACACTATCAAGCGGACCTCCACCTGTTCCATCAAATGCGAAATCCCCTAATGGCCTCGCATAATCCGGCGGAGGACTGATCATTCTCTCATTGGAAGATCCTCTGGGCGGGGGAGATCTAGAGGTTTCCATGGTGTACCCCGAGAAAGCCGTTGACGACGCGTCTGATCTGATTGAAGACTTTCCGAGGCTGGCAGTGGAAGTTGATGCCCCTGCTATTGTTGGTACCGGAGGAGGATTCGGACCTGACCCTGGTGTCGCGAGAGAGGCTCCTGCCCTTCGAGGGAAAACGATCGATGCGGGGGAAGAAGAGCCATCGTTGTGAGTCTTCGAACGCGAGAAGTGCTGTGCTTCTGGCGGATCGATTTTAGGTAAGTTTGGGCGTGTTGTACTGGGACCAGGATTACGCCCAGTGGGGCTTGGATCGTGGGATTGTCGATGATAAGAAGCAGGTGGAGCTGGATTGTTTGTTGATGTCATCCGACCTGATAAAACCGCTGGGGAAGGTTCCGGAGTGGGGGAATAGTGAGATGCAGAAGATACAGAATAGGTAGAAGGAGCCAAAGAAGCTCTCCTATCGGGTGGAACAGTTTGCTATTTGGTCAGAACATTCTCTCCAACTCGCCTGAGATACGGATATTTCCGAAACTCACCTGGGTTGGATAAGCGGGAGATGATTGATATCCCGTATAAATTGGAGCGTAACCTCCATTCGGCACTTGAGCTCTTTGAGGCTGAAGATGGGTGTTGTACGTGGCGACGGGTGCAGGGGCAGGAGATGGGGTAGGGAATGAATGTGTGGGTTGAAGTTGTGGAGGTGGTCTAGGTGGGTTAAATTGTACAGGGGGATAAGAAGGTTGAGCCGGGTTCAGATACTGTGTTGGTGGAGGAACATATGGGTAGCCATTATGAGGTGGATGTTGACCTGCGGTAGGAGGGGCGGAACCCATATGATGACCACCGGCAGGTCGACCAAAGATGCTCTCGAAGGCGGCATTGCGGGCGTTGGCGGAAGTTGGTGCACCCGCTCGGGATGGTTGATTGGTACGTGAGCGGGGCCCAGCTGGGGGCATGGTGGATGGATGTATAGATGATGAGAGTAGATGGGAGTGAGAGTAGGAGAAAGGTATCAGTGATCAGTGGGAAGGAAAGGAAGGAGGAATGTTTGATCGGGAAGGGCAAGTGGGTGGTGATGTGAGTGCTGGTAGGTGGTGGCGTGTAGAGGGCCAATGATGACGATCGTCAAAAGGTGATGTAAGAGATATCGTCAGTGCGAGGTGCAGAGTTATGAAAGTTACAAGATGAGAAGAGAGGAGTATAGGTGGATAGGTTCCTAGGTTGAGATGAGTAGATGGAGGGTGAGAAGAGGAAGAAACAAGAGCCAAAGGTGCGCAGTTGACCGTTGATGTATGTACTGTAATTACAATGACGTCTCTTCACCTTACAGTCATACACTACTCGGACCTCCTTCTACACCTTAAGCCATGCATGGTCAAACACTCGTACACAAGGCCTCGGACTGCACTTTCTTCATGGTCTTTATGCATGTATACATGATGTATAGGTGGCTAGTCGCTCACCACCGCTCCCATACTAACCCTGCCCTCATAGCAGACGTCCCACACTTGTTAAATGGGGGGATGTCATAACTGCCACTTTCCCCCTTCCATCTCGTCTCTACTCCCAAAACTGCACTCACATACTCTGATTACCCTCCACATCCCCTCTCCCCCTCCCTCCATCTCTTCCTCACACCCCTCTCCTCCATTCCCACCATATTGAACATACTCCACCTCCATGCCCTGGTCCCCACCCAGAGCATCCGAACCACCTTACAAACCCCCTCCCCCTGACCCCCCTTCCGCCCCTAGGTCATCTATGCCGGGCTTCAAACGTGAATCATGGCGACCCACAGCTTCCAGTTCTTCGTTCATCACCAAACCTCCCTCTTCCAAGAGTAACGGTAAGCTTTCTAGCCCAACCGCTTCAGTTCGAACTCGACGGACTCCTTCCCCCGATGTCAACCCCCGTAAACCCGATGTCAATGTGAGAGAAAGGGTCAGAGAGCCTGAACACGGTGATGATAGGTATAGACGTAGAGAAAATCCCCAGAGATCAAATAGTGAGAGTCTTCGAGACCGTGATCGAGTCAGAGAGGAATGGAATGGTCCCCAAGACAGGAATAGGGGATGGAAAGGAAGAGAAAATCGAGAAAGGTTGGATGATGATCCTCCAACAAGAGCCAGATGGGGGGATAGGTATGACCCTTCATCTGGTAGAGGAGACAGAGGGGGAAGATGGGAACAAGGGAGGAATGATTTAGGTTGGGATACCCGTCGGAGGGAGTCTGATCGACGTGACCAACCGAGGGATAGGCAAGATAACAGGCATCATGAAAGAGATCAAGACATGAGACGGAATGACAGGGTATTGGAAAGTAGACGACACGATAGACCCCCAGATAGTGGACGATTTGATAGAGATGTAGAATTCCGTCGGCAAGACAGAGATATAGGTAGACGAAATGATAACAGATCGTGGACATCGTGGAAAGATCGACCAGATGTTGATTCACGTTCGGCAAGAGGGAATATAGTGGGAAGAGGAGGATCAAGAGCTAGTGATTCGTACAGACCTTCAGAAGGGTGGTCCAGGTCGGAACAACCGCCTAGGGTACAGGTCAGGGGAAGGGGCAGTCCGGATTACGGTTTGGGTCGGACACGTAGTAAAACCAGGTGGGTCTTCCTTTTTATACTATGTGGCTTCTGATTCCCTTGGACCTTCTTTCCTCATACTTCCATCCCCGTTACCCGTCAACAATAATCAGTAATGCATTCGTTACTTCCAGTTGAGCGAGTCTCCCTATGAGTCAATTACGATCCTCCGAGGCTGAACCGTTAACACTCAGATCACCGATCCGCTCCCCTTCTACACCCCCAGTCTCGCCCCCGAATCGTAAACGTTCTCCCCTCTCTCCTCCATCCCATACGGCCAAAAGACGTCGATCTCTTTCTCGAACTTCCTCTTCCTCCTACATGTCCTCTTCATCCCTTCATGTAAAAGATTCCATATCCCACGACTTTATCCCTAGTCCTATTGACAAACCTCCCCCGTCCTCGTTCCCTTCACATCCTCCAACCAAGAGTCTCACACCTTCACATCCTTCCCAAAGCCTAACACCTACAAATCCTCCTCCCGCCGCTCTTCCACCCACAGGCCCATCTGCCGATACTCGAGATCGAAGCCTTCCCCAAAATGGGAATGATCAACCCCATCAAGACTTCGAAGCTCGTCGTGATCGTTGGTCCCCCATTCGACAAAATACCAAACTTACCGGAAAACCGATTCCCATTCCGGGGATTTCCCCTAAAGGTTTCCCAAGAAATATACCTACCTCGCCGAAAGGGTTCCCACGAATACCTCCTACTTCTCCGAGAGGGGATAGGGAGACAAAACCTAAAGATTCTTGGAGAGCTCAAGAGACAGGGGGTCAGAATGTACGGACAGGCTGGGGATCAGGATCTAATTCTCCGACGAAGATTCCGACTGAACCTCGATCCGAATCTATTCTTGCTGTTGTTCAAAATACCAAAGCAGAGTTTCATTCTCAGGAGAAAAAAGAAAACGGATTATCAACTTTCGAGGCTAGAGATGATCAATCCAGGGCTCGGGATGTTCGAAGAGAAGTTAAAGAAATCGAGCAAGATCAATCGTCAGAAGCGAACGTACCTCCTTATTTACGCGCGGCATTGGAAGCATGGCTGAAAACACCAGAGAAAGAAATCAGAGGGTTCTTGGTTCATTATTTCGGACGAGAACCAGACCAGAGAGAATTGGGGGAAATGGAGAGATTAGCAAGGTCAAGGATTGAACAACACGAAAGTTTATCCTCGATACGACAGCTAAAGGATAATAATGCATCATCCTTGATCAATCAGGTGAAATCGGGATCAAGTCGGCTGGTCAGCATGAAGGATAATGTGGAGAATGGTGAGAGGGAAGAAATTGGAAGAGCACCTTCAACTTCACCTCCAACTCCTCCTGCTGACCCACCTCCAATTCCGGAAGATTCACCATCGTCTTTGAGAATAGGACCTTATCCCGTCCATTCCAGTTCGGTTTCATCGAGAAATGGAGATTATTCCTTCACTTCGAACAAAAATGGTACTATCTCTGGAAATGGACATGGGAATTTCCATTCACCTCGTACCGCATCGGATCCACGTTCAAGAAGAGATATGGATAAATCACAAGATTTCAACTCTGGTCAAGTTCCTCCCCCTTTACCCGCACGTTCTCATTCTACATCGATGTACGATACAAAAACCGCATCTCAAATTCATCCCCATCCTCAAGATATGCCAGAAGGAGGCAATTTGTCAGAATCAGGTCAGAGAGGAGCTGCAGAGATAGAAGAATTGGGATCAATGGAAGTAGAGGGACATTCAGGAGAAATATACGATAAAATATCTTGTGTGGGAGAAGGTACTTATGGGAAAGTTTATAAAGCTAGGAATAACGAGTCTGGTAAATTTGTAGCTTTGAAAAGAATCAGGATGGAAGGTGAGAAAGATGGATTTCCGGTGACTGCTATGAGGGAAATAAAATTGTTACAGGGGTTGAAACATGTTAATGTTGTGAGGTTGGTGGAGATGATGGTTTCGAAAGGTGTGTGGATTCGTCTTCCTCTCTCCTTCACTCCTTCTCTCATCTCCCTCATATTTGCACTTTCTGTCCCTTATTCAACGATCCTAAGTCGTGCAATCAATACATGATCCCATCTTCTCTGGCAGCTGGTCGTGTTTTTCTCTTGTTACTATGACGAGGAACATCAGAATTTAAACCAATACGAATACCCACTCACTACAGGCTCCGTCTACATGGTCTTGGAATATATGCAACACGATCTCACCGGTCTTCTCTCCCTTCCATCTCTTACATTCTCACAAGCCAACATAAAATCTCTCAATCACCAAATGCTCTCCGGTTTGGCATATTTACACCGACGAGGTATCCTTCATAGAGATATGAAAGGTTCGAACATTTTACTCAACTCAAAAGGAGAATTAAAATTAGCGGATTTCGGTTTAGCTAGGGTTTATCATAAACGTCGAAAAGCGGATTATACAAATAGGGTTATAACACTTTGGTATAGAAGTCCTGAATTATTAATGGGTGAAACTGTTTATGGTCCAGAAGTTGATATGTGGTCAGCGGGGTTAGTTCCTTCCTTCCTTCCCACTTCTTCTATATTGTGACCTTTCTGTGCATTTCTCAATCAAATCATGTGTTGGAAATAACTCACGACCAGCTGTATAATGCTCGAACTATTCACCACCAAACCTATCTTTCAAGGAAATGACGAGATTCATCAACTTGAAACTATCTATTCTATCTTAGGTACACCTAGAGAATCCGATTGGCCATCTTTGAAAGATTTACCATGGTACGAACTTGTCAAACCTCAAGAAATCCGATCTTCAAGGTTTAGGGATAGTTTGGGTAGATGGTTATCCCCTGCTGCTTTGGATTTAGCGGAAGGATTGTTATTTTATGATCCTGTGAAAAGGTTGAGTGCTCAAGGTGCTTTGGGTACTAAATATTTTCTAGAGGAAGAACCAGAGATGGAAATGCCTCTTCAGTGAGTTGACCCATATACCATTTACCACCCCCTTCGTTCTTCCCATCACCTTATATACTCTCTCTTCCATTCTCGCTAATCTTCTATTCCTGTTCATTCTATTGTCGCCGTTCCACCACAGAGGGCACAGCAGCGTTGAGTCATAAGAAGACTATATGCTCGCCCTCTTTTGGAGATCTCTCTGAATACCCAACTCGTTGCAAGTAGGGTGCATATCATGGAGAGCTTCAAAGACGGCTGGCGGTGGTATGAGAATGAGAAACTGATGAACAGACTTGGAAGTATAGGAGAACATCATGAAATGTCAGCAAAGCAAGAACGAGCACGGAGAAGGTTGGAAGAACGAGAGAGAGGATCGTAAGGAGGTATTCTACGGTGTAAAGGTCAGGTTTTACCATCATACCTATTTGCATATATGTAGGTAATTTTACTTTGTCTAGGTTGATGCAGTAGGTCATATGAAATATACGATAGGGTATCATATGATACAGTATGTCGTCGATATGTGGGTGGCGAGTGGATGAGGGGGTGAGGTTGGGGAGGTTGACGTCATCTACGCACTGCGCACGGATCTCTTCCCCACAAAATCTTCTTTCCTCACTCTTCTTCACCTCTTCTCATCACCTTCTCACCTTCTCTTCACCTTCTCATCTTTCTCTCTCTCAATCTCTTTGTTTCTCTCTTCTTCACTTACTTCTCACTCATCATAACATACTCTCACTTTCTGTTCACTATCCTGACATCTGCAAATCGACTGACCATCCACGTAACTCACTTACTTTAGCTTAACATCACTTCCACACCTCTCTTCTCCTCCCTCGCCCGTTCCATCGAAAAGTGTGACGTCTCCTCAACTCCAGATCAAACTCTCATCTACGAACCATGTCATCCCATCAACTTCTCTCGGTCCAAAGTAGGTTCTTTTCTTACCTCCTTTTCGTACATCTAAACACCATCCCTCTCCCATATCTCAATATTGACCCCTCCTCCACTTTCTCCTCTTGAAACGAAACTCCCTTCACCTCTCTTTACAGTCAGCTCTTCCTATCTATCCTGTTGAGCTGACACACAGGTGCTTTTGCAGCTTTACATCCTTTTCTTTCCAGGTTGGGACTTCAACCGGGGACGGAAGATGAAGTTTTGAAAAGGTTAGAAGAGCTGGAGAGGGCTTTGGAGGGGTATAAAAGGAAAGGGCAGAAGACTAAGATCGGTAATGAGGGAGAGGGTGGAGATGAGGTATGGTTTGACAGTGCTGGTAGGTTAATCAAATTATCACTTTCCACACTGCATGACCGTTCCCCACCCGCATAGTCCGATGGAGAAGAAGGCTTCATTTGGGATTTGTTGGTTCGAGTTAATACGACGACTTCGCCCAGCGGGTTCTTACTCTCCAACCACGGAATCATTTGGTGCGCCGAGAATCCCTCAGCCCCAGAGTATTCGTATTTCACTATCCTTATAGAGACCAAGAGTGAGAATTGTAGATTGACATTTCAGGAGTCACACTATGGAACGCTGTAATGCACTTCGATCGTACGCTTCAAGGCGGAGCTAGTCCGCGAAGCAAACTTTCGGCTAGAAGTTAGTCTTCTCTTCCCAAATGTGGTCTTCTGGCATTGAGATCCCAGTCAGATTGATCGCATACCGGATGATACAAATGTCAATGCAATCAAGCAACACTCCGACGGGTAAGCTTTGCCTTGTGTAGAGTCCTGAAGCTGAGATACCAGCGCTGAACAGGTTGTTGATTGTAGTCTCTAAGACAGTCTCGGCTCAAATAAGTGAGACACACAACTTCTCCTATCGGATTTCGTATGTGCTGAAGATATCCAGGTGTCGGTAAGATTGATGCGGCTCGGGAGCTTCTGGTCGAAGCTGCAGAGGTGAGTACTGTTTGTAGCAGCGTCACTGGAACTCTCTCTCATCGCCTCTCATCGATATGAAAGCAACATTGGCTAACCACCAGTACGAAGACATGCTAAACAAAGTCGTCTCTCCTGGAGACGCGGATCTCAACACCATACGTCCCCTTCTTGACTTTTACCTAGCCCGTGTCCGAGTCGTGAGCTGGCAATCTTTCAGTTTTGCTGAGCTCAAAGAATAGAGCGCCGCGGAGGACAATCACGACATGTCACTAGGCTTTCTTCGAAAAGCCTTGGGTGAGTCCCGTGTATGACAGACTGTGCTAATTGCCCTAGAGCTCGGTCATTCTGGAGCCTTCGAAGCGGATCAGGTAAGTGACACCTTGTTTAATGGTTGATTACTCTGATATCAGTACCGAAACTTAGCCAACGAGTGCTGGATGGTTGGCAATCAGCTCATCGCACAAGTTATGGCCGATCGCAAAGATCCCGAAGGTTCAATTGCTCACTCAAGTGAATGGTTATCCTTAGGTCAACGGATCGCCGAGGAAGGTATGGTACGTTTTGGGAATGTTCCGGGCTTTGAGGAGCTACAAAAGGCGTTACTCAGATCTTTAGGTTTGCCGTTTCTCCCTGACTTTGCACTTGCACTAATCAAAACAGCCCGCTGTTATCTCTTGCCTTCATCTCAAGACCCAGAGGCGTTGTCTAAAGGGACGTCGACTCTACAGGAGCTTGCGGCTCTCTCAGATCCTCAAGCAAGTCATGAGCCAGATACCAATAAGTGTTCTGACTAACTCTGACAGGACCGTGAAGGAGTTCATGAACTTCGTATACTTCAATTGCAACTACTCAAAAAACAAAATGCCGCTGAGAATGACCTCCGATTAGGTGAGCTACTACAGTACTAAGTTATTGACCAGCTGATATCTGCAGTCCTCGGTGGTCTCATGGAGAGCACTCTCTGGACTCAGGAAGGTGTGGCAGAGTAAGGAATGTCCTCTGACTAGTTCAGTCATGTGCTGATTCGAAGGATTATACATGAAATCAACTCTTTAGCCACATAGTCTGTGCACCTCAGGCTTCATGTGTGTCTCTGATGACTCAGCCCTGATCTTCCTATCCGCGCCTTTCAAGAGTTTCTCCTCCTAGCTCTCAGCTTACCGGAGGCCCATGACTGCGTCGTAACGGTCATGCTAGCCATCCTCATGTACGCCAAGGGAATATCGGAAACACGAGCGCTGGTGGCCCTCAAGATGGTCGAAGAGGCGTTGGACGGTGAGTCTACCATAAAAATCAAACTTCAGTCTAACGACAGCGCTGGCTTCTGGTGGCGACTACACAATTGAGAGCAAGACCGAGGTCACCGCATATTCTACGGTAAGATCTCGTAGCAACGCGACAACAAGCATAGCGCTGATGTATAGCTTTTATGGAGTCTGGGAGACAAACTGGCTGCCCAGCGAGCTCAATCTCCATCAGCGGCGGCTTGGTGTGAGGGATCTGGACATGGAATGTTCATTCGCTGAGTAGCAGTTCAACTGGCCGCTCATCCTGCATTGACTCAGCTCGAGTTGGACGGTTCGGCTAGATGTTGGCGGTGAGCATCTCATGAAATTTCAGTAGGATTATTTCTCACTTTGCAGCAAAGCAGCCCTATGTTACATCCGAGCAGGGGATAACAGTTCTGCCCGAGCGCTTTTAGAACGTTGCTCGCCCGCAGAAGCCTCAACACAATACCTCTCCTTTCTTCTTGCCCTCCAGCAAGGTCAGTTGGTTACCAGTTCGTTGAACCGACTTCAGCTGATCATGTAGGGGACGACATAACCGCCATTCAAGCTATCAAATCTATAGTTTCCTGTCCCGATCTGGACGGAAGGCAGGTCGTCCTCATGGCGTGAGCACATCTTCAGTGCGAAAGACTTGGGTTGATCGATCGGTCAACTTGCAGACGACACCAAGAATGAGAAACTCCTGCTGGAAGCACTTTCAGCCCTTCTTGAAGCCATTCGGAGGGATGAAGTAGCTCGGATCATAGAGTTGGACGGTCTCACCCTCGTGCGGTGAGTCCACCTCCGAGAACATGCCATGTCACCAACTCGTCAGTTGTCTGGTCCGTATGACATTGCAAGATCTGCAGAAGATCCCGGAGCGGTGAGTTGCCATTTGCCTATTGATTGTCGCTCACAGACAAGAGCACAACGTGGCCAAACACTATTATACTACTTCAGCGCTGGTAAGTACCACTGCATATCACTCAGCACTGTGAGCTAATTTACTGATGAATGTAGGACACGGCGTCCTGGAGCGGGCTCCGTCAGGACATGATCCAAGTATACGGGCCGCCGTCTGGCTGTATGAGACATGTGGGTAGCTACCTAGTCTAAGGTTGAGCTGAGCTAAGGTTTTAACACTGCCAGATTAGGGACCGATGTGTGGGATCAAGCAACTATCTCTGACCTTTTTGACCTTGCTTCCATTGCGCGTCTTTCCACCGAACCATACGTCCAGTGGACTAATTTAAGCTTATGGTGGATTATCGGAGGCTCATGAGTGACAAAGTCAATGCCACATTCTGCCTTCAAATGGCTCAAGTCATGTACGCATGCTTTTGCGGCAAAGGTGAGTCATGCTTTGCCATCGAGTGGAGTAGTTGAAGATAGTTTTCCTGTATCGTGATATGTCGGCGGGAAGTTCGAAGGTCAGCTCGATCTCTTCGGCTAGGCGTAGCTGATGAGCAGGCCGAGCTTCTCGAACAGCTTCTCGCATATTTGCCGCATTGTCACGCATCTATAGCAGACCCAAACAGTGAACCTACCACAGCAGATGTCAAGAGGGAAATGATGAAGATGTTGGATATTACATCTGTGGAGCTTTTCTGTGAAGCCCAAGATTGGGATGGACTAAGGATGATAGTTGAGGTATCTCTCGTCTCCTGATCGAGTCTTGGAAGTGTGTTGACGACGGAGACCATCATCGCAAAACAGAAGAAAGAGCAGACAGATATGGAAGAAGTACGCTCAACATCTACATTAGAAGCTATACAAGATGTACTTGCTGGCTATCCTGCGTGTCCCACAAGATGTGAGTCTTCTATCATATCTTGCAACGGACTGACACTTCAGTGACTTTCTCTGTACTTGAGGTACATCCCTGTCCTGCTCCAAGGAGAGTGAACCAAGCACTCACACGAAGGCGATCCTAGAAACTTTTGTCATTGCTCTTGACTCTGATGTGGCGCCGTTTTCCCGTTGGACCCGATCAGGCTTGACAGTATTGTTGAACCGGGGTGAGAAAGGAGATGACAAGAAAGCTGCAGAGGTGGTCATGAAGGCTTTGAAAGTTATGAGTTCGTCCATTGGAGTGAACGTGAGTTCTCCATTTCACTTTTCCCACACACAGACCATGTGACCGGTCGTCCTTCCTATGCTTTCATACAGCTCGTGTGTGGATCGCGCCGCGCATACAGTCAATTGATTAGCCCAGCCGACGGTCTCATTTATCATCCCGCCGCCGACATATGCTTATGAGATCATGTTGGGGTACACCCGCACTTGAAGTCCTGCTAACTTCAGTCTTACCCCGAAGACGAGAAAGAGTGGCTCTTTGCGCAAGTATGGAATAAAGGTTTGGACTTCCACGGGTAAGTTAAGCTTAGAACCAGTCCTGGAGGTCTGGCTCACCAGAAGAAAGGGGCAAATCGCCCTTGCCAAGTGGTGGACCGATATGGGGCTCGCGTTGGCGAAGCATGTGCCTCTGGAGGAAGGAAGGATGGAGCAGGTGAGCTTGATACATCACACTAGTACTCGTACTGCCGGGCTGATACTTAGCTTCGTTCTCATCAGCAGTCCGTTTTCCCTCTTGGCGACAGATTTATCTCGTTGACGGGCAGAAAGCTGACGGATCACTTGGCACGTTCGAAAAGTATCAGCAAGGTCTCGGCAGCGTCTCACAGTCCATGATCTCATATGATCCCGTTCGATAAATAGGTATTTCACCATGCCAGGCATAATGCAATACATGCAACATATGTGTCATCCCAGGTCTCTTGACGACCACAATCATGATGAAGACGAGGTTTGCTCCACCCGACATCCTTTGTGGGAACATCCTTTCATATCGACCCCTTCAACATCTTTGGTCTTTTTCCAGCCATGGCACTTCACGGCGAATCATGTCATTGAGTTGACCACTGACTCTCACTCTTCATTCTAAGTAACATCAGGATCAATTTCTCCCCGGCGGGTCCGGGGACACAACTTGCCATTAAGTCACTAAGAACTGACCGTATCCCGGTTATACCTCTAGTAGCAACCCCCCACACCGGTTCTCTCTCACGCGTTCAATACATTGCCAATCCCATAGCGCCAACGAGGACACATCATAGTCCATCAGCCAGAATGGCAGACGGCAGATCATCCAAATCCCGATCAAAACCCAAATCCAGCAGCTCAAGATCTCAATCTTCCCGATCCAAATCCAAACAACCTGGATGCACATCACATATCGCCTCCAACGTCTACCTCGCATATCTCTCCCTTATCCTGTTGACGGTCCTGTTCGAAGTGTTACCAGGAGTGACAGGACCGGGTGCCAAGTTTTATTGGGTCAAAGTGAAGTATGCGGAAGGTGTGCAAGGTGGTGGAGGTACGCAATGGGAGTTAGGAGGATTAGGAGTATGTGAGGTTGGAGGGAAGTGAGTGACGGTTCATTTTTTTCATCCCTTTCTTCGATCCTCTGCCTTTGATCTCACTGGGAATCTCTCTCCCTCTGCCGTATCGATCTGGATGGACATGGGATTATCTTTGTTGGTGATGAGGAACGCAGTGTGAGGTGTGAAGCGTTTCCGGATATGAAGTCGATATCATGTGGAGGAACAGGGCTGTTTTTGTGTTGTTGATTTCAAGAGATATTGAGTTATGGATTGGACATGAGTGAAGATGGGAGAGAAGTAGACGTGTGAACTCGGAGCTGATGATAGGTGTTATACTTCTCAAGGACCTCCACATTGGGGTGCAGTACAAGGTGGTCTGATATTTCATCTAGCTGGTTAGTTTATTCTTCTTCACAGCACCTCCTTATCATTCTTGAGTATCGTCACTTGTTTGGGACTTCACTATCTCACGGGAGTGTAGCCTGGAAAGAAGAGGATCGAAGGTCGTTCACACCGAATCCCATTTTCATGCGTTAACATCATGCCACATAGAGCACATAACACTCGTGGTAGTCGAAAGACGAGGTAGAGGAGGTTAGGAGTTTTTCGAACAAGTGAAGTGAGAGACCATCAAAAGTGTAGAAACAAAGGAGCATGAACAACGCTTACCATCAGTCACACCGATATTCTTCCTTCTCTCATTATTCCACGCTTTCTCACTCTGGAAACCAATCTTCAAACCTCGTCTCACATACTGGCTCTCTATCCTCCTCCCTGTAACCGCCTTCTTGTTTCCCATGATAAGTCTCATTATGGATTTCGCAGTGCGTAGTTCGATATCGGGGTCGAAAGATATTGAAGAGTTTAATACACTTCCTGCGTTTTGGTTGTAAGTTCACAGCATCGTCTTAGCCCTCTTCATCCCGTTATTCGTTCTTCATCCTCCAAAGTCGCATCCTCTCATGATCCTCAATACAGCGTTCAATCTTTAGTCCATGTCTCAATATCCCCCCCACCTAGTCTGCAAACCTTTATAACGCCCTTAAGATATCATTGATGTCCCAAAATATCCTTCGCATCTTCTCACTCAGCTCAGTCGAAAATCCGAAGAAAACAGAGAGGTCATAACTGAATAATAGATGCATCCCCTCCATCATATTCTCAACAAGTTGGACACTCATCGCTATCTGGTTATCATATATCGCCGAACGTAAACGACGTGCAGAAAGAGCAGAAAGAGCGAATAGAGAACGTTCTCGTCGAAAGAAAGAATCGACTTCTTGGTCTTTGGCGAGTTTGTGGCCATGGGCTCGGGGATGAGGTGAAATTTCATTAGAAGTTGTTTGTATTGGTTGTCCCTTTGTTTCCATTGAGAAAACGTTTCCAATGATGTTCCAAGTGAAAGGTGGAGACAGCAAAGTTGAAGTGTCGGGCTTTGTTCGGAAATTTATCACTTCAAAGTGTCTGTCCTGACTTTCGTCCGTCACGTAATATATGCTTGATCTCCAAGGTGAACCATGGAGTGAACGCAAAGGAGAAATGAGAAGAAGGACGAGAATGAAGCTGATGGGTACATTGTTGATTGTACATTGTTTGAACTTAGATGAATGATGCGGATCATACTTTGATGGAACTCCAAAGATTCGACGAAATCAGGTGAATCGACAATTGAGCAGGAGAGTATCAAGTTGCAGCGAAGGGCGCGAGTGGTAGTGAGATTTAAACCACTTCCTGGACTTGATGTAAGAGTGAAGAGAAAGAGTTGATCTCATTGTTTTCTGTGTTTGTTTCATTTCGTCGAACGTATACCCCACTTTCGGTTTTGTTTCTTCGAAGACACCTTGAAAGTTGGTATTGCACGATTTTCAGACTTGGTATTTTTGTTGAACTTTATCAAACTCCCACGAGGAATTTTTCGATCTGTACGAAGACCGAATCCTTTTCCTCTAAATTCATCTGGTTCAAACTCTTCCGATACTTCTTCATCCACTTGGATCTTCTCTTCAAACTCATCCCTCTCCCATTGATCTCCCACCTTATCCTGTGTTTCCTTTTTTCGATTTGTACGAAGACCAAATCCCCTTCCTCTGAATTGATCTCGTTCATACCTTTCCAATACTGTTTCATCCACTTGAATCTTCTCTTCAATCTCTTGGACCTCATCCCTCTCCCATTGATCTTCCACCTTCCCGTGTGTTTCCTTTTGTCGATTTGTACGAAGACCGAATCTTTTCCCTCTGAATTCATCTGGTTCATACTCTTCCAATACTTTTTCATCCACTTGATCCTTCTCTTCAAACTCTTTATTCTCATCCCTTCCCCATTGATCCTGCAAGTTCTCCTCCTGTGTTTCCTCAACATCTTCATCGAGATCTTCAAGTATGTTGACGTTTTCCTTTTCCAGTATCTCATCATCCACAATCAACATTTCTTCTTCGTCCTCCATATCTTGTGAAGAAATGGTATCTTCGTGATCATCATCATCATCATCATCATCTAAAATAGACGGATCCAAATTCGTTTCTTCTGAAATATCATCTTCCTTTACCTCTCCCATTTCCATCATCATCATTGAACTATCCTTCTCATTTTTATTATTCTCACTCATGGCTTTGATGGCTGTTTGACGAAGTTTGAATCCAAACATTCCAAATTCCATATCTTTCATTAAACCATATATCATCTCTGGTTTCCCTTTACATTTCTCCATCATTCCTTTAGCTATTGATACTGGATAATTTTTACATTGTCCAGTATCACAAACATATCTATACCATCCCCACAATTCATCTATATCTTGAATATGATTCCTTAACATTGAATGTAATATATCAATATGTAATTTCCTCGTTTCAACAACTTCGATTAATGTGAAAGAATCTAAAGCTCTTTGAAGTAAAGAGCTGCGGATGGTGATTGAGACGAATGGAGATCTTATAATTTCACGACAATATAATGACCAGATATCGATTATTGGTCTTGGTCCTATTCCCTCTACTTTATTTTTTCTTCTTGATAATTCTTCCAATATTAAAATTCCAGCCAAAGCATCTTGTTCACTTGGAAGATAATTACGTCTATTCCTTTTTAATAAAGCTAAAATCAAAGTATACCATCCAGCTATTCTACCAAACCAACGAGATTTATCTATACCTATCATGATGGAAGAAACTGAATTTTCGACAGGATTACCATTTTGAAGTAAATACGCTAAAATAAGCCCTAATCCTACCGGTCGAATAATCGTTTTTGATTGAATTATATTGACAGACATCCTAAATGCGGATTCGACCTCCGGAGTGATCTTCGTCCGACGTAAAAGTACGAAAAGGAAAATATTGAAAGCTCGACTGATATTTTGAAAAGAATGTTTCGTAGCTGTTACAGATAATAAAGTGGTTGATGTGGTATAATCTCTCATTTCAGCGAAAACCCTTACGAAAGCTCGTAATGTCATAGGACCGTAATTTTCAAAACCAGAAGAAACAGCTTGTTCATATCGTTTGATTATCTCTTCATCTTGGTTGAGAAGACTCAAACATCTTATTCTTGCGTATAATGGACCATCTTCAGTGTCAACACCTAGAGAGCATAATCGAGCCCATATAACGTTGGACTGTTGTAAAGCGTTGGCTCGAGTTATACCGTCATCAGGACCGTTCTGAGCAATGTGTGTGAGAGCGATCATTACGTATGCGAGCATTTTAACGTCTGGTTTGATTCCTCTGATGAGCATGTCTTCGTCCAACATTTTCATCAAAGCTTCTGGTCGACCGGCTTCTTGAAAGGCGTGTATAAATCTTTCTATTCATCAGTTATTTTTATTTTTTCGATTCCCTTCTTTTCTTACTTCGATCTAATCCTCTCACCATCTATCCGTTGAATAAGAGCTCAGCTCTTACATGGATTGACGACAAAGAAACACAGGTTGAAGTAAGAGATCATGAAAGAAAAAACTCACCCCAACTAGATCTGGTAAGAGGTATATGATTCTGCTCATTCTCATACCGCACGATTGACAAGTCCCACGGTTCTACGAATTTATCTTCTCCAATAGAAGCATCCATAACGTCATCGTATAATTCTTGCAAAGAATCAAACCTCGCATGACCAGCTAAAGAAAGTATCGCTCGGTCGAGGGAAATGGGATGATGACATAATCTTGCTATACCAAGCTTACGTACATTCTCCAAAAAGGTATGTCGTAAATTCTGACCGTCCGGCATTTCGGAAAGTATAGTTTGTACAACTTTTGAATATTTTGGAATGTTCACAAGTACATCCAAATTTGAGTTCAAAGTCGATAACATGTCATTTGAATCGAGATGACCATCCAAGGTACATGCTCCTATAAAAGCATGAACTAAAGATCTTATTCCTTCCCCTGAGATTCTAGATTGTAGTCTTTCGGATCGAATAGAAGAGAATCTTTTGTTTAGATCGATACCTTGTACTTTACGTGTTTGTGAACAGTATTCGTGATACAATTCTTTCACTTCTGATGGTCGATCAAGGACGAGTAAAGTGAGCATGAGAGCGTGAAGACCTTGCCATTCTCCATGTGCTGCTGCTTGCACGGTACGTTCTTTTAGAGAAGAGTATTCAGAAGGAGATTTGAACATTATACGTCGGAGACGATGAGGATGTCGGTTATTGGCTAACATCCAGCCTTGTCTGGACCATTCGGCGTATGGAGGTTCGGTGGGGTCGATCCCGGGTTCAGAGGAATCTTCGGAAATGACAGAGCTAAATTGATGAGGTGCTACGATCTCGACCGGTTGAGTTTCAGGTCTGATTGCTGTTGCAGCCATGTAGGGACGGGATGGTATGCGGGGAGCATGGGCCAAGGAAGGGTGTCGTCGGCAGATAGAAAGAAGTCGTATCGGGAGCTGCAGGGGGACGATATTGTGGATTTTAGTCGATAGAAAAGCTCCGCTGGATAATCTCCAAGCAGTAGACTGTGGCCCAGGACCAGCCACTGCTTGCAATGACTTTGTGATCATGTTAGTGGAACAACTGGTAAACTCAGCTTGGGAAGGGGAAGATTCAGCTGCCCATACTTTCCCACGGTTGCTCAGAGTGAATCAGCTTACGTAACAACGCCGACTATCGCGCGACTGTTTTCTTTTCCTTTCCCCCTTTCCGTCTACTTTCAACTTTTCAAACCTCACCCCTTTATTCCTACCTTGTGGTCCTTGTTCCTCCCCATACAAACCCCCCACATCGATATAGGAGTACCTCTCTGATACACTCGACTCACAATGCTTGCAGACTCATCCATCACCAACATCCCAGCAGATGTGTGAGTCTCCTTGGATGAATCCAGCCACCTCACCTTGAGATTGTTTTCAGCTGACATGTAGTTCTAACCCCTTCATCGCCAAAGTTCCCCCTTCACCACCAAAACAGAATGTCGTGTCGGACCCTATTGCGGTGCTTCGTGAGGGTATGGGTCGGATGGATATCACTTCTCGAGGTAGTAGTGGAGAATACGTCAACGCGAGGAAAGAAGACAGTAACGTTCAAAACAAACGAGAGGTGAATCCTTGTTCCTCTTTCACTTCTTCCACTTCTCAACGGATTACTCTCACTTTCGTTGTGTGCTCTATGTGATATGTTGACTGTGAATTAAACTCACCCTTTAGCTTGATCGATTCGTTCCCTCCCGTCCGACATCCCTTCATCAATCATCTCATTCTTCCACCACATTGCCCACCCTCGCGCTAGAGACCCCTGACACGAGTACGAGCCTTGACATTTCCTCTTCTTCCCTTTCTGCGTCTCTAGGTCTCCAATCTAATCGACGTATCTTATCTTTCCGATCTGCTCCCCCACCCGCCTCTCACGCTACTTCGCATCTCGACGCCCAACGTGCTTATCTCGTCCATTCTTCCGCTTCTGCCAGTAGAGGAACCACCACTTCTGGACCAGGAGCGGCTGGTACGAAGAAACGTTCCCCTCCACATGTACCAGATAGAGTGTTGGACGCTCCTGGCTTTGCCAATGACTATTATCTTAACCTTGTCGATTGGAGCTGTGGGAATCACGTAGCTATCGGGTTAGCGGATATTGGTTACGTATGGGACGCAGAAACAGGAGCTGTTAACGCTTTGGGTACAGGTAGTGAGGAGCAAGTACCAGTCACGTCCGTATCTTGGTCTCCTGATGGTGCGTATCTGGCTATAGGGAATGATAAGGGAGAAGTGGAGATTTGGGATGTGGAGGAAGGTAAGAAGATGAGAGTTATGGGAGGACATCAAGCTAGAATACCAGTGTTATCTTGGAATGGACATGTTTTAAGTTCGGGATGTAGGGATGGGAGTATATATCATCATGACGTCAGAGTATCGAGACATAAGGTGATGGAATTGTTGGGACATTCGGGGGAGGTGAGTGAGGTGTTATATTTGTTCCTTGTCGCTTTCCTCCCTTCCCCCCTCCCCTCCCCTCCCCTTCCCCGAATCCTTCTCTTTTTGTTCGGGTCGGAAAGCTCGAGTCGGCACTCGCGTATACTTGACGCATGCTTGTCGGAAGATCAGGTCTCTCAGCGTCGAACGGAAAGCAGCCCAGGGGTCGACAATTTGAGAGAAAGGAGCGGAGAGTCAACGTTGTAGATCAAGCTGACACCTAGGTATGCGGTCTCAAATGGAGATCAGACGGTCAACTCTTAGCTAGTGGAGGGAATGATAACGTTGTTAATTGTTGGGATGGAAGAGTAGGACAATCGGTATTACAAACTGGAGAAGGTATCCCAAAAGGGGTAGCTAAATGGACCAAACGGAATCATTCAGCAGCTGTCAAGGTGAGTTTTTCTCTTCCTTCCTTCTATCCATTCTGCTTCCCCCCCAGAGGTGGTCGCCCCATCTTCAATCACATCGTTCCCATTCCTCGCTTCCTTTCCTTTTTCAGAACCTCCCCACATTTATTGTGTCAGGCCCTCCACCTCACTCCAGTGACCATACTGCCCTGTCGACGTTTCTTTCTTTGAGGAGAACTTCCAAACTTACCCTCAGGCACTCGCTTGGTGTCCATGGCAATCCAATCTACTAGCAACAGGTGGAGGATCAACCGACCAAACCATTCATTTCTGGTCATCTACAACAGGTGCACGTACAGCATCATTACCAACTTCATCTCAAGTTACTTCACTCATTTGGTCACCTCACGCTAAAGAATTACTTTCAACTCATGGTTACCCAGATAACAATTTGATCCTTTGGACGTACCCTTCTCTGAGTAAAGTATACGATGTTCCTGCTCATGATGAAAGGATTTTGTGTTCAGCTTTGAGTCCGGATGGATGTATGGTAGCTACCGGTGCGGGGGATGAGAATTTGAAGTTTTGGAAAGTCTGGGAGATGAAGAGTGCGCCAAAGAAAATTTCGGGGGAGGAAGAAGTGAGAGGTAAAGTGGGTGGAAGGATCAGGTGAAGGGAATGAGGACCTCATTGGGTGCATGTGTAGAGCAACGGGTCATAATTGGATGTGAAAGAGGGTAGGAAGGTGGGAGGAGGAGGAAGAGGAGATTAGCAATAATGAAGATGGAAAGGAAGATGTGTCAGGGATAGTTAGGTACTGGAGATGACGTCGGATATCAAAGTTCTGGATGGAATGATCCAAGGGAGGACCTTTAGGAAGGGGATGTGAATGGATGAACAAGTAATGATCATGAGTGCAAGCAGACCAAGTACAAGACATATGTCAGAAAGTACGGTGCGTGGAAGGATCATGAAGATTAGTGGTAGTATCTTATTTCCATCTAATTCACTTCATGCACTGCTGTCTTTTGTTTACTGTGCACTACATTCATACGACTCTTCTAATCATCAGGACTAATCCTAGATGTTTTGATTTATGATAGACACCAACTCACCAGATCCCAGATCCCAGATCCCAGATCCCACAGATGTCATTCAATAAAAGATAAATCGGGTTTCTCCCAAGCGATATTTACAATATCAAAACAAAATCTCATGCTCCTCAATAAAATTCAGATGTTTATGTATGGAATTTGAATGAAGGGTGGAGGGGAAGTAAAGAGTAATGTTTCGAATATACTGCACGAATTACCAATCTCCCAATGTTGACAATCCAGAGATAGAGATGCTATTGAGTAGTACAATCCCTAAAAACTACTTGTCTTCTCTCCCTTTCTTCATCCTCCACATCCAAATCTTCATCTTGATCAGGTCCAACTCTTACCATACCTCTAGCAGTCAACATTTGTAAGAGTGAAGCTCTTCCGAAAGAAGTCCGATATCGTACACCTTGATTGAGATTTGATCGGATGATAGTTTCTTTCATATGTGTACGGACGAATGAAGGGAGGGGTCGGAGTGGGGTAGGAGCGAACATCTGTAGAGTTAATTTGTTCATTCCCTTTCTTATACTTGACAGTATCCATCTTCGTTTGGGTGTATTTTATGGGGATGTAGGTGGGAGAATTCAGCAGGGAAAAAGGAGAGAAGACGGAATGAAGAATGATTCGTGCATGAGAAGCTGAAGGATGAGTGAAGGAAAGGAAAGATGGTAAGGGGAGAAAGGTGGGAAATAGAAAAAAAAGGGAGAAGAATTGGAGGAGAGATGAGGAACGGAGAAAAAACACCACTCACCTTGACAGTATCGTCAATCCCACTGACAGCGATAAGAGGTAAAGTCGGATGTTGTTCGATAACTTATTTCATAAACAATCACCAACTCGTTTCATGCAACCATCCCCAGCTTCCGTATAGGCGAGGATTGTGAGTTAATACGCAATAACACCCTACGTCCTCTTATGACCATGTATAATCACCTTTGGTGGTGCAGCGATAGTGCCATCGCGAATTGAGGGGCGGGATGAAGAGGGAGGACGAAGAAGGGATGTAAGGATAGAAGAAGAGATAGAAGGACAGAAGAAGAGATGGAAGGGCACGAAAAAGGGGGGAGGGGCAACAGGGAGAGGAAGAGGAAGAGGAAGACATACCATTGACAACACTTCCATCACCTTCCCAAATACCTACCAATCTACCAGTATCTTTATCCCATACAAAGAAATTACCATCATCGCTACCTGTACAAACTTTATTCGAAATGTTTCCTAAAAAGTTACCTGTACGTCAGATATAGATAGTTCACGTACCAGGGTCATCTAATCACACGGAGACTGCAATCTCTCAATGCCTCATGGAAGGAATATGAACATTCAATCAATTGGTGTTAAAACTACAGGGGTGAATAACCAAATAGTGAGACGTAATGGAGGTAAGAAGTATTTGAAGATGTTGAGGGAGGGTGTGAACGATAAAGGAGAAAAGTGAGGAATGAGTCATAAGGAGATAAATGAGCAAAAGGCTATTGTAAGGAAATGATTGTATTTGAAGATATTGAGGGAGCGTTAGACGTACAATCTTTAACAGTCTCCATATTTCTCGCTCCTTTGAAACACCTTTTAGGAAGTATCATTTCAACTTCTCTAAATTCTTCTTTACCAGATCTAACGATATTATTTCTTTCAACTAACATTTCTTCATAATAATCTTCATCAATTTCTTCATCTTCATCATAATCTTCTTCTTCGTCCCAATCGATATGATTCTCTTCAGAATCTGAATAACCCATCGCGTCCAACTCGACGGCCATATCGTCATCTGGGTCGATGTAAGTGTATGGATCATTTAAACCTGCGTAGTATTCCTCAATCGCCTCTCGATCAGGTTCGATTTCATCGTCATCAAGAATTATACCTTACTTATCAGCGAGATACGTTCGGTCTGGTACATAATGAATAGAAAATCACAAGCATGTAAGGCGGTCGTGAGAAATCACAACTCTTTCTCTGTGGATGGAGACGATACAGTCATAGTCAGATGTGAAATAGTGAATGTTCAGCTCAGCAGCTGCGATAAAGGGGAGAATGACGAGAACGACTCACTGGAACCAACTATTCCATTTGCTTCACCTAATAAATGAGGAGGTGAAACAACGTTTTCTGGAACGGGATCATCCGGCCAAGGCGCTTCTCCTCTTAGGTGAGCCGGTAGGATATCTTCATCCCATAACGGCTCATCACGCATATATTCCATAGCTTCGACATATTGTTCGTAATCCATCCCTCTCGCCCAATCGGGGGTCCGAGGTCTAGGTGGGTCATTTGGAACTGGCGGGGATTGAGTCTGTGTCTCCATGACGATCCCACCATCTCCTGGCATCGTAGTCCCATTACGACTACTATGACCTTCCGGTCTGGGACTGGAAGGTCCATTACTCTTGTTGTCGTCTTCAGCATTGATCCGTTGTATTATCGATCCTTGACGCTGGATCAGGTGCGTCGAGGGACCTTCATCTTTGACCTGATTGACTAATAGATTCCTGTTTGATGGACTAGCGAGTGACTCATCCTGGAGAGGCTGACCCCTAACTCTTTGTGCCTCAACCTCGTCGGTTGTGGATAAGACGGAATGTCGTCTCTTTCCTGTGGAAGTACTTTGGTCATTGGGATCCTCCTCAAGTGATCGTCTATTTCCATTGGAGACTCGCGGAGATTTTGAAGCTTTAGAAGATGACGTAATTGGTGGAACGATAGAGGTGGGTGAATGAGAGTGGATGTTGGGAGATTCTGGGGAATCATATATCGAGAATAAAGCTGTAGAGTGTCTTGCAAAAGCTACGATGACCTGATGATCAGTCTCTGGATTCTATCCTCTTCGACCCCACTGTTAACACAGTGATACTTGGGCTTTGAAACACAAAAAGTTCCACAATTGTCATAAACATGGCACACGTCGTAGAAAGAGCAAAAAGGGAGGCAACAGAACCAAAACGGTAGAGGTCATGGAGGATATTGAAGGTAAAAGTAGGCATTGATAACTCACCTCGTCAGCTTTATCAGGACTCATCTTTACACATGTTATATGTCTTTCTTCATTATATCGCATACCGTCCTCCGGTCCAACTTCATTCCATTGATCCTCTGACAATCCAAGTCGTCTAACACAATGAACTTGACCGGAAGATTTGATATGTGAACCCCAAGAAGGATGTTGACGTTCTGTCATACGACGATCGCAGATGAATGCCTGGGGTCAGAACGTGTCCCATTTGAAATACCTCAACACTTCTACGATTATAGGGTGATCTGCAAAGAGAACGTATTCCGACATTGATAGATGGAGCTGAAGAAGAGAAGAGAGATGTAGAAAAGAGTAATAGCGAAATAGCTGATGAATTCAAAAACATATACAGGAATGGTGAAGGTAAGAAATAAGGGAAATGTTTGTCAAAAACTCACACAATCAGTCCTACCTGCTACTGCAAACATATAAGGTGCAGGTAAACTAACACTCAAACTATACAAATCCACCTCTCCAGGAGCTCGAAATAAAGGATCTGGACATTCATCTTTACATCGATGAGGGATTCGAAGATCATGTTGTCTTACGGTGCCATCTTCTGAAACTGTCATGAATAAGTGAGGAGAGTTTTCTGTGGCTATTCTTTTGGTACGATCTCGATGGCATTTTAGGATACGGACGCTGTATGTGAGCTGACTCTCCGAGGTATATCAAATTCCAATGCCCAGCAGACTAGTGTGAAATATAGAATCTCCACAAGGACAACCAAATCAGAAGTGATCTCCTACATCAATTTGATCACATTATCCAAGCAAAATTCCTCGATCAGCAATTCAAGTCACAGATGTATAGAAAGTTTACCTGTCTGAACCCAGAGATAGATAGATGACATGAGGTATGCAGAAGGAGACAGTGCACTCACCCAGGACCATCCACACCCCATAATGCTCTTTGACCTCTATGATCCTCCGCCCTTCCCAAACGTTCAACTTCAAACACTCTAACATCTCTATCTCCAGCACAAGACACTATAGTTGGTGTATTTGTATTTGGTAATAATCGAGCTGAGAAGATATTGGCCCAATGACCTGTGGTGATGGTTTCTGTTAATCGGAGTGGATGAGGTGAAGTGGCGGTACCGGAAGTAGGTGAAGGGTCAGCTTTCCAGATACATATCCTGGGTATGAGTGTGATATCGTAGTTTGACCACCATTTTTGCACTTCTATCAGAAACTCCTGGTGAGAGTCCCATACACATTATGATGGCAGATCGAGGGAAAATATCCAATCTTATTACAAGATACGCGATGTAGCGGAGATCGAGATTGGAAGCAATGGGGTGGATGTCAAACGTTTGGGAGAGAAACGTAGATGGATATAAGAAATTGAGAAAGTCAGACATGAAGTCAGGAGAACCTACTTTTTGTCATCTGATCCTGATAGTAAAGTAGATCCATCATCAGACCATGATAAAGCGTTAACACAACTATACATGAGCTACGCTCCTATCAGGGAAAGGTTGGTAGCTCAGAAGTACAGAATATCAAAAGGGGATCACACTGAGGTAATACCAAGCAGGTTTAGCGAGTATCCAAAAGTTCAAAGTTGACGAAGACGAAAGACTTAGAAGGAGGAAGGTAGCTCATGAAAGAATTGAGGTGGGTGAGAGGGAGTAAAGAGGTATGAGACTTACCCAGTATGACCATATCCATCTTCTCCTAATACCTGAACTCTATCTAATCTATCCCAACTCGTCTCACTAGAGAATGCTAAATGTTCTCGTCTTCCGAATGATCGATGTAGGGAATGCAATGTATGTCTTGGCATCTTCCTTTGGACTTGTATCAATTACTTCTTCACCTGGTCCGATTTGAAGGTCAGAACCGTTGTGTAACCTCCAGCCTGACCACCTATACTGAGTAGCTGATGGAGTAGCTTTTGATATTCCTGTGACTATATTTTGATTTGAGAGATCGTCTTGCGGATGGATGAAGGAAGAAAGGTATCTCGTGAGCTTGAGAGAACCGAGGTCGTAAGTTGTTATGTCCTCGAGATGAAAGTTGTTTTTAAGTAGGAATACGATACTTACCGTTCTGATCCTACCACTGATGACAAAGGCGACCTAAACTATAAAGGTCACTCGAAGAGATGAAAGAAAGATGAATGGAAAGATATTGTTACTTAGTTGTTGGCAGATGGCGAGGACAGTTCCTTCCACATCTCCGTCCATCGCGGGGCCCCAATCAGGAGGGTACTTACTGTACATGCTGACTCTATGAGATATATGGCAAGTTTCATATCATCGATCAAGATATACATCCGACCAAAGAGGTATATACATGGTTGTACAAGATGGAGCAGATTTGGAGAGACGAGCAGTATGGATGGTAGTGAGAAAGAAGCAGAATCATCCCGACCCAGAACCCCAAAGTTGGATTCGACCGGAAGTGTTCCCACCCACCACATGATCCACTCGAGAAGGGTGAGATGCAGTGACGGCGGGTACGGCTGTGACTCTGTATGTAAGTTCGCGACATGTTTACTTTGAAATATGTGATGTTATGTTCGGAGAAAGTTTTGACATTTGTTCGGTTTGATATTTGTCGCGTGACGAGCACGGTGCAACAACAAAGACGGAGAAAGAGTGAGACAGGAGTGGGGAGAATGAAAAGGAGTGCACATGAGTATAAAGGAGCAAGAAGACAGCGAGGGAGAGTGGACACGAGTGCAGAGAATGATAAGGAGGGTCAAGGCGTAAGGTAGAAGTGTAAAGGAAGTATATAGAGAGAAAGGGTAATGAGGGAACGATCAAACTCACGGATCAGCCCATAAACTAACAATCTTTTCCCCAGTAGCAGTGATCACATCTAAAGACCGTTTCATATTACCCACTGTGAAATGAGGAACAAAGTCCATATTCAAACTCCATTGTGCTCGTAGGATGGTCAACCATCTTCCCGTTTGACAATTATGAGGATAAGATTTGATAGGTTGGAAATGAGTTGAAGGGAGTGGTTGATCTAGTAGAAGAGATTGTGGATTGAGTGACCATACTGCGGGTTTAGACATCAATTCTTACATAGATAACACTGTCAGACTTATCATACTTATCACACTTTTCCAAACTGATCACATTTTCAACACTTCTAACACTTACTATAGCACCACGGAGTAATATGATCATTCCTCTGACATGAAAAGTTTCAAGGGATGAAAAACCAATCTACACTCACTTCTCAACTTATCATCATAACTAGTACTTAATATCCTTCTACCCCAAGGATCCCAATAAGCTGCACTACAGCTTTTACCATGTTGATAATTGGCTCTTAAAAGACCTTTACCTTTTGTGGTGGATAGATAAGAAGATATACTTTCGAAAGAAGTCACATTGGTGGGATAAGTGTTGATACGTGATCGTAGTGTTTTGACATCTTGAATGGGTGTGGATATGTTTCGATCGTCGGAAAGAGTCGGTTTTGTATCTTCTTCATCTGGAACTTTCGTTTTTACATCATCTTGCCCAGCTGAAACGGTAGGTTTGACATCACCATTCCGTAATGTTCGTTTCGTTGGTTCCTGCGTGATATGTGTAGGGGGGTAAGGAGCAGGTTTGACTTTTGGAGATAGTGGAGCGGTGGGTGGAGGGGGAGGTATTGAAATGTTAAGAGGTTGAGGGTTTGAAAGAAAATGTCGGGTATCCCAAATACGTAAATGTTGGTCGTTCCCAGCTGTCAAGATGAGATGTGGCATGAGAGCTGTTTGTATCAGTTCTCATTCCTTGTTTCCCAAACATTTCATATCCAACTTTCATCCCTTCTCGCTCGTTCCTTGTCCTCTTACATCTCTTATTCAACCTTACAGCAAGTGAAAATTTACATTCAATATCAGGAAACCTTCAGAATAGGGGCGAAACGAAGATAAAGGAAAGAAAGAAAGAAAAGAGCGAGGAAGTAACGGATGGTGAATCGACAACAACAAGACGCACGGTTCACACTGACTCCTCCTAACTTCGCACTTCTCCCTAAATCTTGAACAATCCATCTTCTCCTTTTACCTCCTTCTCTAAAATCACAATGACTTATCCCACCATCTTTATCTACCAACCAAGCTTCTTGTCCGGATGGAGTGAGATCGAAATGAGTTATGAGAGTATCTTCATTTGGTAAAGCGAATAATTCTCTTGAGGTTAAAGTTCGAAGATCTAAATGTCGGAGGGTACAATCGTATGATGATGTGAATAGCTTTCATTAGTTTATATTTCATTTGTCGTTTGTCTTTCCGTCGTCATCTCTCAAGTGTCACTTGTCACAACGCTTCGTTCTGTTCGGATAGCATGTCACCTTAAGAGGGAAAGATGAGAGGTGATGGGGGGTTGGTAGTGTACTTCAGCACTGTGTGATGTGATGAGAAGTAGATGTCATGAAATGTCTGACAAACTCACCCCACTCCCATCAACAGGATCTATCTTCATACATGGTATACTATTCCTAGCATGGGCCTGAACATGCCATATCCGACCTTCACTCTCTTCTTCTTTCGCCTCTGAAGTGTTGTCATCATTCTCCGGTGTTTCTTCATTAGGTCCGAGGGCGTCCCATCTATCAATGAGCATTATTCTTCTCTAAACACCAACCAACCAGATCAGTCACAAGTGTAAAGTGGTTTTTCATGACAAAACATAATGTCACGCAGATTGCGTGGATCGTGTAGCCCTGAATCCGATGGTAAAGGTCGAAGGTAAAAAATTGTGATAACTTATGATGTGAGACGGATTGGAAGAGGTATAGATGTGAAGATAGTACGAGGATGAATATGTGAGAGAAACAAATCACTCACATTCCCACCATACCATGTTTATCACCAACAAAAACCAAAGTTTTCGTTTTTTCAGGATGTACAACCATACTATAAACTCTTTCTTGTGTAACCTTTGCATTCGCTTTCAATTCCATATTCTTAAATTGAGCTTTTAATCTTTGTATCTCAGTTGGAAGGGTATCCTTATCTGTGTAAGTTTCTGAAGGTGTTGATTTGAGATCTGGTAATGGACGAGGGTTGGGAAGTTTTCCAATTTCTGTTAGATATCTTTCCTATTTCGTCAGTGTTCTACATCATCACTCATCACAATCTCTGAAACCTGCTTCGGATCCGACTTCTTGCTTTCAATGGGGGGGGATTTTACCCAATAGAACCCATGGGCATCAGAAAAACATATTGGAAGAGGGATCGAAACGTGTACATAATAGAAGTTAATGAGGATGAACCTACGGTCACAGAAAGAAGACGAAAGACTCACCAAATCTTCTTTTTCCCCTTCTTCAGCATCCTCAACCATCTCACTTAATTTCATCATCTGATCCCTCGTTTTACGTTCAACAACCCTTAAGGCTTGTCTACCTTTTTCTTCCTCTTCCAACTTCACCCTCAATTCCTCTCCTTCAACTTCCAGCCCCGCCAATCTCCCACTCCTTCTTCTAGGTTCATTATCCCGGATCACAGGGGGAGCTTTACGTTTCTTCGATGCCGGGGTATTAGACTTTGAAGCGGAGGGTTTAGCCAGGTTGAGACGAGAAGAACCGTTAGTGTCGAATCCAAGGGAATCGAGTAAAGCTCGGTTAGAAGCTATAGTACGAAGTCTTTCCGCTTCGCTGTGGGTCAGCTCGTGATTCCAAATTGGCTGATGAGATCTTAGGTGTGAAAGATAAGATAGGGAGAGAGGGATGGATAGGAAACGAGAAGGAAAAACAGCTTTCAGGATAGATCTGAGAAGGAAGTAAGGCGGAAGTTCGGATGTTCACACTCTTTGGATAGTAGATAGTATAAAAGAAGAGGGAGATACTTACTAATCGTTGTCATCTTCGAAATCTGACATTTTGTATAGGTAACTAAGGGGGAAAAGAGGAGAAAGATCAAGTGGGAAGAAGGAAAAACGCGTCAATGTTTGAAGACGCGTCGAGACGCGTCTACCCCCGACTATGTACTCTACTTTCCCGATACACCGTACACCGAGGTGCTAATATCTTGTGCAATTGGATCTACTGTACTGAACTTACTCATTTGTCACTGATAGCTCATACTGACTATATATATTCCCACCTGATTGACAAGTCTTGAGGTCAGATGATCTCCTGGAAACCAGGCCATCAGAGGTTGGAATGTGGCGTATTTAGCACACACACGACGCCACATCTTTCCGCCACTCCTCTCTACCTGTATACCTACCATAACCGGTCTGTAGACTAATGGATCCACCCTGTACTCGTACATTTAAGCTTACGAGACAAGGAAATGCAATCGAGTGGAAGTACCAGCGTGCTAGGTTGACGTGACCTCGATGAGAAAAGCAATTCATGACTCCAACTTGCGCACGCATCTGGAAAGAACGTTCGTTCGTTCCATGGTCCGTGGACCGACCGTTCCAGGCCTCATAATTCTATTACTCCGCTTTTCTTAATTTCTCCTTTCTTCTAAGTAACAAGGAGGGGTATATTAATCTCTCAAATCATCTCCGAAATCTTATTTTCCATGCTTCCCATCTTATAACATCTTCAATCATCTACCCAACTAAGGATCATAACTGTCAGGATCACGCGGTTACCACGGGTACCTTACCATGTAGTCGTACTCTTTTTCCATTCCCGTCCCCGTCTCCATTCCCGCGTCCGGGCTTACTCCGTTCGCTACTACGCCTGGTACCATTTCTTCGACACCTCTACCCTTTTTTACATCTCCGTCTCGGTAACTATCATTGCTCTTCCTCTCCTATTCTACCTCGACTTCATTCCAAACTACGCATGCTCTCATCGGTATCATCCCGCTCTCTTTTTAGTATATAGACGTAGTCTTTTCTCAGCAATGTCTTGTCGAATGTATTTTGTGTTTTCCTAGTTATATCATTTGACATACATCTCATCGATCTTACAGATCTCTTCGATACACTACATCACTAGGTTTGTTCCCTACAAGGCCTCATTGTCACAGCTCATCGACGCAGACTATTCCGACGTCTGGTCCTTACAATAACCCTATCGAATCACCCGACACTCTCTCAATCTCTCACGCGTTTGATAAGAGACACTGACGTCCACTCTTTTTGACACGTTGGAATAGATAATAAGATCAGAAATCAGATGGACGTTCACGAGTTCACTTCATCTATCTCTTCTTCGCCAGAATCATCCCCTTCACATCTGAAAAGCAATGGTTACGAAAGCGAGACATATAAACGGCAGAACGACGACGACGAGGATGAGGATGAGACTTGGAAGCAATATCATTCGAGCATCATAACTCTGCCATGTGAAAATTCAGGTTGTACCGCCATGTCACAACCTGTCAATCCAGATAACACAATAATTGATCTCGAAGGACTTATTGAACTTCTAGGTGAAGGAAGGGGAGAACAAGTATGGGAAGAACTTACCTGTCAAACATTATGTTTCAAACACCAAAATGATTTTTTACTGAATACAGTGCTTGATATGACTGGTATCACCAAGTCAAGTAGTATACCAGTAAGTAGAGTTCCTTCTTCAGGTCCGGTGACACATCTTCAAGATAAGGTGGAAATGAACGCAAAATCAGCAGAAATCATGGAAATCCGAAAAGAAATCATTCCAAAGTCGAAAACTCTCCATGGTTCTTCAGCAAGTAGAGGAATGATAAACCTGATCAAACAACAAAGTGAAGACATATCCTGTGATGGGAACAAAAATCTGATCGAAGGGAAACCTGAAGCATCCACCAGTAGGACATACATTGTAGAGCCAAGGAATGATCTTCAGACTGATTCAAACTCCCTTGTATCACCGCAAGCTACACATACATCTGATATGTTGGAGAAACGCGATGAAGACTTCTCTGAAAGGTGTCACGGGCGTCGAACAACTATCTTCTGGCAGACCGACGGTCGACGAACCTCGGCTAACTTGATGCTCCTGAGTCGAAGTCTCACCCAACCGAGAGGGTGCAGACGTCGAAAGGAGTGTAACTACGGCGTACTTCGGCGTAGTTACTCTAACTGGGGTTTTGTTCTACTGATGGCGATGTATCTCGAATTGTATATAGCTATCTCTATCTGTTTTTCACTACTGACAACAATCAAGGATCGCTGAAGAACTTCAGCGATCTTCTCAGCTAATATTATCTACTCCTCCTAGACGTTCATCCAACCCTCTCGCGCTTTGACGTACTTCAACGCACTTCGTCCAACTTCCCCGAGCCCTCGGCCATCCTCTTCCTCCTTCGACTAACTCCGCCTAACATCGCCGCACTTCTGCTCCCATTGTCCCTACTTAGCCTAACTCCGCCTAACATCGCCGCACTTCTGCTCCCATTGTCCCTACTTAGCCTAACTCCGCCTAACATCGCCGCACTTCTGCTCCCATTGTCCCTACTTAGCCTAACCCCGTCTAACTTCGCCGTACTTCTGCTCCCATTGTCCCTACTTAGCCTAACTCCGTCTAACTTCGCCGTACTTCTGCTCCCATTGTCCCTACTTAGCCTAACTCCGTCTAACTTCGCCGTACTTGGTGTCAGAAGTCCTGAGTTACGTGTAGAGTAAAGAGGTTAAGGCGTGATGGGGTTTTGATGGCCAAAGGAGGGTCATTGTTGGTGGAGTAATCGAGGTGTCACGATGTAGTTCGTGACAAAAGGTCCTCAAGAAGACAATGTTCACTTTGATTCGGGTACCAACACACCTTGCACTAGTACCTGCACAAACACCCCTAGTGAATGGGGAGACAGTACTGCTTCATCCTTGAACTTGGAGCCACCGGAACACCATATATTCATCCCGATGTCAATACGACATCTTCCGTACATCAACCGAGCCGAGCTCAACCTGTCTCTCTGATGCTCCTGCCCGATCGAACCCGGCAATACATACTGTACGCACGGATGGGGGAAGGGAAGTCTCATGTTGTCTGCCATACTAAGGCGAGGAGAGGATTGGGTTGAAGCAGAGGGGTATGGGGGGGCGTATTCGTGTTTGCGAAACATGAAAGAATAGTAATTTCACCTTGTGGATGTTAGGGACACGGCCGGAGACGTGCACCTCCAGAGCTGCACGGACCTGATCATTCCCAGCCAGAGATGTACCACTCCGGAGCTGAACACTCCCTTTAGCCATTCCCATTCAGAGAAACATCAATAACAGATCCTCCACGCTGTACAAGACAGTGTTGGTAACTCCAAAGTGCAGATGCTCTACTAAGGCAAGTGTAAGAGGTAACCATCAAAGTGCTGTTCATCATCGCATGCTGTATTTGACTAGAAGGTCAGTCAATATCTTGAACCAGGGGAAATTCCAATGGTGATGTATCATAGGTAATTGTTGCAGTGTTATAGACTTCAAGTTGTGGGGCCAGACCACCATGACTCCAAGAGTCCAGAAGATGGACCACAGGATATCTGTACTGTGATTTATGTATGTGGAGAGCTTGAGGATCATAAGAGCAAAATTGCTCTGGCCGTGTCTGGACACCTCTGGAGCTGCATGGTTCTCTGGCCGGGTCCAAGAGGGGGGTTTTGAACCATGCAGCTCCGGAGGTGCACGTCTCCGGCCGTGTCCTCAACATGGATAAATTACAAAGTAAGCATGACGTGAGAAATGAAGTATGAGGTCATACTCCTCATGCCTTCCACTTGACAGTTGACAATGTCATCTTGGTACGCGTGTGTCTCGCGCAATTGGGTTGATCTTCCATGCCTTCTTTCTGGACTTTGGTTTTTCCTAATAATCATGCTTATAACCCTCATCCAGGAATTATGAGAAGAGTCATTACCAAACACACTTGACATTGACAATTTTCATCATTGAAACAAACATATGAACTTCTTCACCACTACAAATAACCAAAATCCTTTCTCAGATCCCTGGATGACTATCCGACTGATCAGTCATCTCGTTGCATCCTATCACCAAGAATTGACTAACAGTCTGGACGTAACAACTTTGTTCCAGTGTCCTAATCCTACTTGTTCAGGTGATACCTTCCCAATATCCATTGAGACGACCGGGACTTTCTTAGACGGCTTTGCAACAACTTCCAAGAGTACCATTCAATGGACTACGATAACTCCTCTTGAAGCTCAAGAAATCACTTGCGGGTGTTTAAGCATCAATTCAACTTGGTTCAAGAAGAAACATGAATGGTCAAGATTACCAGAAGTTGAAGATAATCTGTATAGTCAAGCACTAACACAACACCTCATCCGTATTACTAACCTATCTCAGAACGGAGAAACATACAATTGTGGACATTGTCAACCATCCAACCAATTCACCATAGTCAACCTTCCGCCGAAATATCTAGGTTGGGATTCATGTGGTCATAATGGAGATGGTATTCCATTCGTACTCTCTCATACACCAAGCGGACTGAAGAATAGTACGGCCCTGTGGGGAGTTGAAATGGGAAGGCCAAGAGCGTGTTGTAGTCTAGCTTGTCTGTTGCGTTCAGTGATGAAGGGGGGAAGAGTGATAGGTGTCAAAGACGCTCTTTCGGGGATGGCAGAACACGTGTAGAGTGACCTGAGATTCATGGCGGTACAACAACTTACCAGATTGGAGAGGTCAAGGAGGGTGATGATTGCTACATTGTACATCCATAGGTACTTTTACTCCTACAATCGCACTTTCTTATCAAATGTGGGGAGCGAGAGGATGCATGACAAGATGGGACAAATTTACCCAAGACGATGTTGGAATCATTATGGAGGAGAAACTCATTGTTGGTGGAGCAACCAGAAGGCTTGACTTGTAAAGAAAAAGTCATCATCCATCAGTAGTAAAAAGAGAAAAAGAAGGCGGACCAAATTTCCCCTTCCCCCTCACGGATCTTGACGCGCGCGTTTCTCGGCCGACTTTTCTCACCTATGGGATCCATCCTAAAGTCTGACTTTCTAAATGGGCTTCTCTTGTCTCAAATTTCAAATCTGGTTTCTTCTAGTAGAAAGGAAAGATCACATGGATCTCAACCATACAACTTGGATGATCCGTCCATTCGTATACGTATCCTACTTTGAACCTTCCAACACTACTTCTTCCCCTCAACTTTCCAGGTGGAGTTACAGAAACATTACTCCACCTGTTCTACCTTTGTTCCTCTAGAAGAGGACTCATACTCCTTTCCCTGAGTTAAAAAATGTATAAAGAAACCACATTGTAGTCTTCATATCCTTCTCAACCTTCATCTTCCATACGCTCCGTGCGTTTCATTATCGAACACCACAGAGTATCACTGCCATTTCCTACTCAATCACGACTATTCGCAGTACCAAATCATCGTCCACTCAGCACAGAAGTAGCTAACAGACATCCTTCATTTAGGGTATAAGTAGCTAACATGACCACAGGAATCAACCCGCTGAGTTATGAGATCCTCTTTGGAAGCAGGATGACCAATGACAACCAAGACCCCTCTCATGCCCTCGCCACCCTCTTGAACTCAAAAGAGACCAATTCGAGGAAGAAGTCTCATGGTCATCTCTCCAGGGTAATCGATGACAATTGGGAACGACTACAACATATGAATGAGGAACTCTTACCCCTGTTTTGTTGCACGGAAGCTGACAGGAAGCCGATCTTCAGCAATCAAACAAGAGCAGATGATGCAAAACTTGGGATTGGAAGGATTGACAAATCTCGTGGGAGTTGCTCTATCATATCTGACCCACCCCAACCATCAACCGTTACCATATTAACCTCTTTTGTTGATTCCAAGAGATCTCTCTACAATAAATCCCACCCAGTTGGATACTACAAAGCATCAGAAACCAATGACCGGTGTGACACAGATTCCCTCATGGGTCACGCCAAGTGGGCATGCAAAGAGCACTTGCCAACGGCCAGGGAAATCTTTTGCTCACAAGTGGAAACCCTTGGTTTCAAAACGTGTGGACGCACAACTCAGGTTCCCATCATAACAGGGATACTTGATAAAGAGGAGAATTTATTGATCCCACCGATTCCACTCTTTCAAATGACTAAGGTAGACTCCGATGGGACGGAACAGCTTGTAGCTTGTTGTTCCCTTGCTTGCGCCGTAGAACATGTACTTGAAGGGTGGACCAAAAGGAATATGAGTGATGATCCTTTGGCTGAATGTCAGGAGAGGATATCTAATGCCAAAGGAATCGGACTTCTCAATTACGGTCCTGAAGCAGGAGATACACTGATTGATATGGAACCCATGCGCGAGAAGAGTATGAATGCCTGGTCAACCGAATCCAAGGGTCTGTTTTTGATAGCCTCTGAGGAAACCTTTGGAGATTTTCCGGGGGAGAAACATCAGCAAAATCAGCTAGACGGAGAGACTGACAATGCTGGATGCTGTACTATCTTCTGAAGGACCTGAAGTTGTGGAACCTTGATCTCTTAAGCATAACAGAGGTGAAGAAGACTAGACGTTCTCGGGAAAGATGCATGATCCGTTTGGCGAAATGTACCCCTCATCCGTATCGAGAATCATACTCGTGGGAACCATATATAATCTTTCCCACATGGCCGACTGCCCATGCATAGCCTGGACCATTCACACGTTCCCATGATCTCATATCCGCCTTCTATTCGGTGATGACGCTATGCTGGTCGAAAGAGGTAAGATTGTCCATGGTCCGTGCAGATCTCCATCTTTCCCCTCCTCCAACTTCCTCTTTTGTATTGAGATCATAGAAGCTGTGCTATTACTCCCTTCATTGCCTTCTTCCTCATCCCTCACTCTCCTCCAGCATCTAGAAGTTGTGGGGATAAAACCATCCCCTTCTAACCCAATCCCTCTGGTGTTAAATCATCTCAAATCATCACCTTCTTTCGAATTGTCCTTGCCATTCTACCCACCTATGCAACCTCTGCAGGATTGACATCAATCTGAACTTCACCCTCCTACTACATGAGCAAAAAGGATGACAGCCCTGGTTCTTCGGGCGATGAAGGCGACTTCTTCACCCCTGGTAGCCTCACACCCGATCATCAGTGGACTCACATTACATACCAAGACGCGACATACATGGATCCCCCGCCAGATTCTAGTTCCGGATCGGAGAAGGAACAGGTGGGTACACTGCGAAATCCCAGAAAGCAAAGACATCCTCACCAGTACTTGAAAAATGTCATTCATGCACACAGAACAGAACTTGAGAAAGAGCCATTAGAAGAGCTACTCTCCTTTTTCATCTGCACAAGGAAAGTATGCAACACATCAGGACAGAGTGATGAAGAACTGAGCGGAGATTCAGACAATGCAAGTGTGGACAATGAGAGTGCTGCCAATCCCAAAATCAATATCAACGACAAGAATACTGACAATGCAGATGATGACGGTGACAGTGATCACAAGAAAGATCTTCAAGATGGGAGTGTGTCACAGGGTTGCTTCTTCGTTAACTTCCTACGACCGACGGCCAATAACTTCGTGGGCTTCGACCTTTACCAACTTCGTTGTTCGAGATATGAAATAGGTGACAATAACTTCTGGGTGTAATAACTTCGTACTTTACTAACTTCTATCACTAAGACAACAACCAGAGATCGTCAAAGATCTCTGGGAACTTCGGCCCTTAAGTACTTCGTCCTTCCCTAACTTCGTCAACGCAGAACTTCGTTCAACCCGACGTCCCGAGCTTCGTACCTCACGAACTTCGTCCCCGACGAAGTTCGTGCCTTCCTAACTTCGTATCCTCCTAACTTCGTATCTCCCTAACTTCATATCTTCCTAACTTCGTATCCCCCTAAGTTCCTACATGACTAACTTCGTCCTCGACGAAGTTAGCCTCCTAATACCCTCGTGGGTGGTGAAGTTCATGCGAACTGGGTCGTTGATGGCGAACTGATGTCCAAAGGAACTTCGTTTGATGGGAAAGGATAATGTCACGCGGCGCCGCGTGACAGAGTGATTCAGTCAAAAGGACTACAGATCATTCTATTTTTGAAGGATTCATTGACTTTACCTCCACTTCACAACTCCTGAAGGCTCTCATGGGGGAGGTGGGAGAACAGATATCAGAAAGTATCCACCCCCTTAATGACATGGGAATATGTATTTGCAACTCTCAAAAACAATCATCAGCGGCAGAAATTTGGACCACAAAAGTATCTTCTAAATTTGTCTCGAGCTGTAAACATGACGGTGACAACTTCAGAATTCCTGTTGCCATCATTTCAGAGGTCTCAGAAATTGGTGACATGGTTACTGTGCAGGTGCTCTACCCAATGAAAAGAATTCTAGCGGATGGGACTAAGGAACAGATTGGATGCTGCACTGTTGGTTGCGCCTTCAAACATTTAGTTCAAGGGTGGAGTAAAGGTGACAACCTCTGTACGGAGCTTCCATTCGAGTGGGATTCCGATGATGAAGCAGATGAAGACCCAGGAATGGAGCAACATCTCCGCCCGAGACCGGGGCGTACGCAGCCCCGCATGGCGTGGCTGATGGAAAGGGGGTTGATTGTCACGAATTTCAGTACTCGTAGAGTAGTATAATATACCCTCCTTTGCCTACTGAACACGAATGTCTATCAACCCGTGATGTCTATAATCACTGGCGGCCGGTCAAACACCTTTACGTGACCCACGGAAGCTCTGACACTGCAAAGCGTCACTGGGGTTAGCATGACCAATGGACCAATGGAAGATTCGTGCCACTTCGGAGTGTCATGACTTTTTCCTGTGACACTTTTAAGGGTCATGGCCAAGAGCCCATGACCCACAGAAGACCTGCTCCTCATCAACAACCATTGATTTGGACCGTCACACAGTTTTGTAAAGAAATGTTGGAGGCTGTGTGAAGGTACTAGAGTAATTCTTTACACAATCTTCTCCATGCATGAGCTGAAAGGATGTGCTAATTGATCCTGGATAAGATACCAAAAGAGAGGGGGAACTGTTTGCTGATGATTGGATGATGATACAGAGGGGAAAAAGAGCATGCATGAATTCTACATGTCTCTATACTTATCACATTCCCCTCATACACAGCAAACCAGAGACAATTGAACAAAGTTCAGAGGACAATAAGACAAAGGAAAAAAAGTGACAGAAGTGGACATACAGTACTCGTACTGTACATATTATCATTGGCGTTTGGGTGTTCGTGGGCCGATTCTACTGGCAACTAACAAAAAAAACGGAACGCTTTCCCAGCCAAATTGGTTCCGCGCCGTTCCGGTTTTTATGTTAGGTGCAAGTATATGGCTTTCCGACATTTGCCTTGTTCAACGGAAACGGCAGAGCTCGACTTAGATAGCTCGAATGTACTTGAGGAAGCGGAGACATGAGGGAGCAAAGCCGAAGGGATGTACCAGACTCACTGGGGCCAAGTGCTTCTGGGTTGACACATTTTTGAGTTGATGCATGCACATGCTATAGATACTGCTAGGTTAGCTTTGGGTCTCCTCAAACAGCAACCACCTCCACTCACCAGACTTGCGGCAAAAACAACTGTCCATCAGCAGTTGGCACGAACAAACAAGCAAACAAACAATACTCACTATCACGTTTTATCAAACCTTGTGCCTCTTCCATTTTATTGAACAACTCGGTATCTCCAATCACCCTAGCTGCGTCTCTCACCTCGCGACATGTCTCATCAAGTCGAGTGATGACCCTGACGATAGTACCTTCTTGGACATCTGTGAGTTCTGTTATTTGTTGGAATGGCTACGAGTCAGCGATTCGTTGCCCATAAGTGTCAAAAAAGGGGAGAAGCGGTGATAGGTAAAGTAGTTCAACCTGAAGCGAGGTTGAAAAAAGGAAGAACTAACCATACCCCTAGCCCATTCATAAACCACCTCCACTAAACCTGTCTTGAACTTTTCCTCAAAACTATCATATTGTACTTGACAAGCATCTTGTTCTCTCTCCACTTCACCCGCTAGACGATATATGACATCCAAGCCTGCCTTTAGATTCTGAGGTATCTGCGGTATGACGTCTGTCTTTTCGACGAATACGAATACGGAAAGTAAAGCTACGACTTCTTGGGGCGTATAGTCTGCTAAGGCGTTTTCTAAAATGAGTTCGGTGAGGATGAGTTCGTGAGCCGAGTTGATCTGGAGTCAGCATTGAGTTGACAGTTCTGTTGGTGCGCTCGTCGTAGTTTCTGCACTATTTACTTTCTCGATAAGAGAACGTGTGTGTGAGAGAGTGGGAGAGACAAGTAGAGAGAGGGTGGGAAAGAGAAATGTTATGGGAAGAGAAAATAGAGGAGAAAGAAAGCGGGGGAGCAGAAAGAACGAAAGAGATATAGTTGACAGGGAGGAGAGTGCACTCACCTCACAAGCCACTCGACCTTTGAGCAGCACAGTAGAATTCTCATCAATAAATTGCAATCTTTTCAAAACTTCGACGCGGGATTCATAATCCGGTAACAGCTCCAAATTCTGGTCAGAAAGTAACAATTTCAACTGAGTCAAACTAGCTTCCACGAGCTTGATCTCATGTTGCATAGCGTACTGAAAATCAGAATGTTTCAATCTTCTCACCCCCCCCCCCCCACTGTGGAAAACAGGGACATTGAACATCATTCGACAAATAACAGGGTTCAGACCAGGTCCCGAGGGGAGGGGGGGATGAGGAAGTAAGGTTCGAAAGAGTATGGTGTACGAAAGAAAGATGAGAAGTAAGGCGTCGTAAACACTTACGTGTTCTTCGAAATCTGGACATTGTCGACATCCCATCTTATTCAACCGATCTACCAACATTATCCGATTGGTCAAGTCTTCTTGGAAATGCAAATCTGTCAAACGTGACCAAGCGACTTCTGGTAGGTCTGGCAAAGAGGATAGTTCTTTGTGTAAAACGACAAGATCGGTCATTGTCTTGGAACAAGCTGTTTTGTCTTTTTTGTCGACAATGGCCGTAGAGTTCGCCTGACGGTTAATTTCGACATTTTTGATGATTTGCCACATGTTCCGCGTCCCATTACATTTTGGGTACAGAGAGAGGAATGCGATTGGAGGGCAGATAGCAGAAAAGAGCTGCGGGATGAAGGGTGGTCGGTTGAAGGTTGAAAAACAGCCAGGATGTATAGGAAGAAGACCAAGGAGTATACAAAGAAGACCAGGGACGGATGGAGGGAGAGCGAGTGAGTAGTGAAAGAGCATAGGAGTCCGAGGGAACGACAAAACAATAGGAAGATGGAGCAGTGAAAAAAAGTAGTAATAAACCACCAACCTTGACGATTCGAGCAGTGACAAAAGCAATACTACTCGTATCCACAATGACCAATTCCCAAGTGAAACTTTCCAATGATTCTTTTGGCAATACAGGCGGCCAAATGGGTGTTACTTCCGATTCTTTCAAATCTATCATCTCAGTGACATCACTTTCATGATTTGAAGGCTTACCTTCCTTTCCTGATTTCTGTTTCTCAGTGACCAAAGCCAGAGCGTAAAAAGCTTTAGAATCGGATTTAAGACCATCTCGAACCAGACTTGGCGCATTTCGGAGAAGTACGGCGATATTAGCTGGAAGGTGCTATATGTCAATCATCACGGCAAGACTTTTTCACAGTCAAGCATAAGTCGTTGGAGTGGTGTAGTTGAGGAAGATTTGAGGAAGGAGGAAAGAAAGAGTGGGGTAGTCACTTACACCATTACGAAGTACTACTACTCTACCAGGGGCGAAGATTTTTCCACCTGCTGGAGCCCATGAGGCCATACGTAATAAAGATGCTTGAGTTCGGACTACTTGAGCAGAGATGTCGTAGAAGGGTGAAATATCAGGAAGACAAGTTTCACAAGTGAGTTTAGGTAGTCGAGCCAGTCGTTTTTCCGTCTAGGTCTCAGTTTCCTTCCTACTTCGCCATCACTCCATCGTTATGTTTTTCTCATGTTACCATTGAAGTTTCAGTCTTGGTCATGTGCAGCATGTAACATGTCACAAATGGTTCAGTAGTGAAAGACTCAAAGAAAAGGAATGACAGATATTTTTTGGAGGAGGAATGATGTCATCAGATATTGAGGAAGGAAGGGAGGAAGACTGACCTGTGCTACTTGTCGTTGTTGTTCTGGAGCCAATTTCTGAGCTGCATTCTCAGAAAAGCTCCTCTTGATCATCTCTTCCACTCGAAGTGCTTCCACACGTAAAAGGTTCAGGATCATATTGTATGTCAAGCGGAATTGCGAGGTCAAACGATTAGGTACTCCAAGCATCATTTCTTGAAGTTCGTGTTGCTTTCTATCAGCATCTTACATTGACCAATATTGCCTCAGAGCTGCTTTCTTTCCCATCTCCCATTTGACCACCGAAGGACATTCAAAGTGCGTGCGCTTGTGAAGTATCTCATGGTAGAGCAACGAGGAGGAGTGGTAACAGGCGACTTTCACGTTCTCCCTCGAGGGGAAGCCTCTCAAGAAAGGGTCTGATTGGAGACAAGATGTGTGAGAGACGAGGAGGGAGAGAGGAGGATTGTGATATATGAAGTATGAAAAAATGGAGACGCACAGTGGGTAACTCGTCCCCCACAAGTATGATAACAGTTCCAGTAGTATCTAAACCTCTTCTACCCGCCCTACCAGCCATTTGCGTATATTCACCAGGTAACAAATTCCTAAAACTTTGTCCATCATGTTTCCTAATACCTGAAAACACTACGCTTTTAGCGGGCATGTTAACACCCATCGCGAAAGTTTCAGTGGCGAATAAAACTTTTACTAAACCTCGTGAAAAGAGAATTTCGACAATTTCTAATGTTGTCAATAACCATACCTCCAACCTTCTTGACGATTCTCATTTTGAGTGCCGGTTTTGACACAATTAGGGTTGGGGAGTGTGTCTTGAGGGCAGGACTGTGGAGGGGAAAGGGGATTAATACCACAAGCAGCTGGTTTGTCGATGAGGACGGATGAAGGAGAAGTTGTTTGATGAATTGAAGAAATTGTGGGCCGAAAAAGAAGATGTTTGCCATGTTCATATGCAAGGCAGGGAAAGAGGAGGGGGAGGAGTTTGTTGTATATTCAGAAAGTCGATTGGGGAAAGGTGAGGGGTAAGGAGTGGGAGAATAAGTAAATATCTCACTAACCTTTGACAAGTGGAAGTAAACCACCATGATGTACACCTATACCCCTAGACATAAGATCCCTCATCCGTAGAATTTGAGGTAAAACTTTGTCCGTCCCTGAATATCAACTTCATTCCGTCTCTCACTCCATTCTTTCAGATACCACGACCAAATCCCTGTTAAGAATTCCACAATCCACAATCCAAGCCGAATTACGACATAAAGAAAACAAAACCCCATTCGCAAATTGAGATTCCGAATTCTGAAAGCCACCATGAAGGTTTTTTTACTCCGAACCTCATCTCGGGAAGTATCATAGTAACCAGATCATGATTGGATATTTTTGCGTGAACTGAAAGAACCAAAGAAGAACTCACCTTTTAACCTATTCAAAGCTTTTTCCCAAGTCAAATGTACCTCACTTTTTTCCTTTTGATTACAAAGATCCAAAGCACTTAAAGATCCCGCATATTCTTCACATTTCTTCTTACTAAACACAAAATTGACAACAGGTAACAAGTTTCCTTTTTTCAAATGATTGACTAAATGTGTCCAAACATTTTGATCTAATTGTCCTTTACTTCTTCCGAAACCACCACCTTTCCCTAATGGAGCATTAGAATGTTTAACGGTTGGATTGACTGTATGTATAGAAGAACCGTTGGGACCTCCTCCACGATTTAAATGTGTTCTTCCTGCTCCTATTTTTGTAAAAGGGGCAGATTTACCAGTAGGAAGATCTTTTGGTTTTGTAGTAGATTGACCACGACCATTCGTTTTTGAAAGTGGAGGTAATCCGGCTAATTCACGTTCTTTATCTTGTTTACGTTTAAGAGATTCGGAAGCTGATGTATAACCTGATGATAGGAAAAGGGATTTGGAATTTACTATTTTATGAAGTTCTTTACCTGCGTAAAGATAATGTTCGAGTGGGACTGGACGCATGGGGGTGGAAATGACGTAAATGTCTTTTTTCTTTGTTCGACTGTATAGTTAGCACGGAGATTATTTGTCCCTTGCACGTCACGTTTTCAAGGAAGACTAGTCACCGTTTTGCTATTTGTTTGATGGAGATGATAGTCAATGTGATGGCAGAAAAATGTGCTGAAAGAAACGTCCAGAGGGACAAAGTGTTGTTATTCGAGTCACAACCACATAGCGGGGCTCTCGTTGGGAAAGGGGGGTGAGGCAGGGTGACTTTAAAGGGAGAAGAAAGAGAGAGAGACTTACCCTACCCAATCCGCAAATTCCTTCGTATTCGGAACAGTAGCCGATAACAAGATGATATTCACATGATCAGGAAGCATTATGATGACTTCTTCCCAAACCACTCCACGCTGAATTTATCAGCTGATCCGCGGAAGATAGTCGCCGATAGCTCACCTCTGCATCGTTCACATAATGCACTTCGTCGAAAATGACGAATTCGACATCACGGATAAGATCGGCGCCTTTGTATAACATACTACGGAGAATTTCCGTGGTCATCTGGGAGTCAGATGTGACGATCAATATCACAGAGAGCTACGACAAATCCAACCACAACTTTTGGACCAGAGCAGACCAGCGGTGTTGGGCAGAAAACATGAATGGTAGGAGGCAATGTGAGTGTAAGTCGAGTAGGGATCCACCTACAATCAAACAACTCCCTTCTGGATTGATCTGTACATCCCCCGTTAAAATACCCACTGTAGAAGGGTCAAAAGAATTCTTGAAATCTCTGAATTTCTGATTCGATAAAGCTTTTATAGGAGAAGTATATATAGCTCTATTCCATCAATATATTCCCACTTCAACACCTCCAATACGACCTCTGGTCCATCCTCCTACTTCAATCAAATCATGAGATCATGATTTGATATGAAGCAATTCTCTCAAGCCTTGCATAATCGAGGGCACTGATGGAAAAGAAAGAAGTGAAAAAACAAACCCACCTAGTCATATGTTTCGCAGCTAAAGCAATAGCATATTCTGCCACGACCGTTTTCCCCGCTGAAGTATGAGCAGCGACGAACACTGAATCTCCCATTTCTAATCGATATACAGCTTCTTTCTGAAAGTTGTCAAGTTCGAAAGGGTACTATCTTGTCAGCCGAAGAGCCAAACCAGGAAATGGATATGAACTTACTTGTCTTGCCATTTCAGGAACCAATTCATGGAACTGGAATGATCAGCTTGTCACGTTTATGGGCTGTGGAAGGTTGGTGAGATAATCGGCGGAACAAGAAAGTCGTTCTCATCAAAAAAAGAACGAAATTTAGAATGAAAAGAGAGGACTCACATTGAGTAGATGTTTATTAACATCCACCACATGAGCCCATTCTTTCTTCGCCACGACTTTGATCGGTTTGCTAGATGTAGGAGCAGGTAGTCGCTGTAAGTCAGCTCATGCTCAGTACTTCTTTAAACAGTATTCAACGAAGTTTTCTCCATCAAGTTCGAAATAACAAGACGAGAAACATCTTTTCCCTTCACCATTCCCGACCTCTACCTATGACAATCGGATGGCAGGTGGAGAACCTGAGAACCAAGCCTATCAGAGATAACCTTTCTGACTCATCGCACACCCCATCACCTTCTCCTCAGAATGGGCGATGGCACGGGTCGGTTTCAGGAACTTGAATCGCCACATACTACACTGAGCTGCGGGTGAGGTGGAGCACAAGTTGAAGATGCGAAGTAAAAACAGAAATACACCCACCCCTATAGGTAACAAATCATCCACATTCTTCCTCCCCGGTATCTCCCTCCTCTTATCTTTATCTTTCCCCTTCAAACTTTCTTCTCCCACTCTACTTATCTCAAGCGTCGGGGATTCTCTCCCATCTCTTCGTTTTCTTCTAGCTTTCCGTGCGAGAGACCTTTCGCCCAACATAGACAATAAAAATTCTTCGGCTATATCGTTAGAATTACTTCATTGCTCCATCTTGTCACACCCTAATCTGGGAAAAGATAACTCAGTAGATAGACGACACTTATCCGAGTTTCGGAGGGATGAAAACCGTGCTGTTATGATACGGTTCTCCGAACATGGGTTACCAACCTTACCCTGGCCAGAAAAGGGATTCAATATGAAGCGAGTGGAAATGAAAAAATCCGATTCTCCGAATTCAAAACTCACCTCCTTCAATCTTCAAACCCCTTTTCAAACCCGGTGCCCTAGTCTTCCAACCTTCTTCATCTTCCAACTCCCCTTCTTCTTCTGGCGTTTCTTTAGGAGAATATTCATCACCTCCTCCTAAACCACCAGGAAGAAAAGGAGCATAACTTCCTTTTCCCCTAACGAAATTCTCCAGTTTTCCCGGTGCTCTAGAAGAGGATGATGATAGACTCGGATGAACAGGTGGGCGAGGTGCTAAAGATTCACGCCATTGAATGAAATTAGAGTTTAGACCTTTGAAAGTGGGTAATATGGAGTGTGTTTGGTATGATGGGGTCAGGGTTAGACGGGGAAGCGGGAGGTCTATGGGTGGTTGACTGAGCGTAAGCTGATGATTTGATTTATGTTCAATTGCTGTGAAATGATACTTTGTATCTCATCATGAGGGGAGACCATGGGTTTAGAAGGTAATGAGTAAGATAAGACTCACATTTGCCATCCCCCCAGACTCTGACTTAGATCTTTAACAGGTTCCAAAACCTCTTCTTCTAAATCTTTCAATACCTTCTCTTTCTCCGGTAATCTGATCCCAAGTAGATCCTCCAAGTCGTTCGTAATTGCCTCACGATCTTTTCCAAGCTTCGGTAAGTGCGCAGAAAGTTGAGAGAGGTCCATAAACCCCATCGATTCTATCCTTTCTTCCATCTCACCTGCTGTCTCTCCTACATCCCACTCTGCATTCCCTCTTGTTATTGTCTCTTCTTTCTCCTCTCTTTGGCCTTGTGGCAGATCATCTTGTACCCTCTGCTGTCGCTTGTTCCCTCTCTCGAACCCATCTTGCATCTTGTTCACTGCCCTATGGGGCTAGCAAATCGTGAGTGATTATAGAAAGAGATGGGAAATCGTACGTACCAAAGCGATCGAAGGTTGTGTATGATTACGTCATCAACCCCTCCTCCTTGCCACTTTCTATGGCCCACTACTCATCCTTCTTTCTCTTATAAGTACAGCATAGTAATACTACATAAGCAGTCATGTCACCCACCACCACCACCGCCGTAGCTCCCAAACGTAAGCTACGACCAGCTAGGAAACAAGTATCTCCAGGTGAGATAGATAAGACTGAAGGTCCACATCCGGGAAAAGAATATAGTTAGTCAGGTTTATTTCACTCCGTACAAGTTGAAAGATTGACATATAGATCTTTGGTACAATAAATGGGCTGGGGGTGATAAAGAAGATGCTCTTGCTAGGTGATTCAATCATCTGACTATCCCTTATTGAAAAAACGTTTGGAAATCACTGACAGATCAAGCAAAACCCTTTCTCAATCACGTTGTATCTTAATTCGTGATGCTGGTTACACTCGAGCAGATGCTACAGGAAATAAGTTTTGTTGTTTGTTCTTTGCCAGAGGATGTTGTCCATATGGGTGAGTTTGAATTTCTTTCAACAACACCCCCTTCAGTCTGACGAGTAGACATGAATGTAATTATTTACATCGTTTACCTATACCTTCTCGTGAGTCTTCTTCCTCTCACCCTCCTCATCATCTCATCCTCCCTTCCGACCTTCTGGAACTAACCCCCCTACTCCTGGCCTACTCTCGTCTATTGGGTATCGTCTATCTTGATTCTATATTGTCACTCCACTAATGCCACTGAATTCTCTTCTCGAAAAGGAGTAAATATTCCCCGGTCCATTCAATTATCTCCTCGTCATACAGTGTTAAGAGGTGATGTTTATGAGGACGTACAACTGATGTCAGAACAAACCGATCATTCCCGTGACTGTTTCGGTCGTGAAAAACATGCAGAGTATAGGGACGACATGGGTGGCGTTGGCTCTTTCAATCGAGCCAATAGGACTTTATACATTGCAAAGATGCAAGAAAGTCCGGATAAGAAACAGACTGAAGAGACTTTGTTAAGACATTTTGGTGAATGGGGTGAGATTGTCAAATGTGAGCTGCTATTCTCGTTCGCCCTGATCCTTGACTTGTTTTTCCAGTTTTTTGTGAGGTCGCGTTCTACCTTATATATAGGGATTGTCAAAACATCTGAAGGGCAGATACCTCCATACAGCAGACTTTAACCTTCAGGGAATATACTATACAACCGAGGTATAGCATTCGTGACATATCGACATGAATCCAATGCGTCTTTCGCCAAAGAAGCAATGGCGAATCAGTCGATGGATAGTGGTGAGATATTGAATGTTAGGTGGGTGTTCTCCCTTTCTTCCCCTTCTTACCGATTCTTCATTCGCTTTCTGAGGTCATGGTCGATGGAGGACATGGTTCCAACAAGATGTCTGGTCAACTTCTGTTCTTGTCGATGTGTGATCAGAATGTCCACACGGAGAAGAGACGATTTCTTTCTGTGAATCGAAGACTCACCATTAGATGGGCGACGGAAGATCCCAACCCAGGAGAGAAAATAGCCGAATCGAAACGAATAGAAGAAGAAGGTCAAAAACATATAGGAAGCATGTTAGATGAAGATCTCATAGAAGCCGCTCAAACGTTGAGAGCGTTGGAAGAAGGTGATGAAGAAGATTGGTATCCTATCGAAGCTAGTGAAAGACCTATTGAAGAGAGAAAGAGGGATGGTAGATCGGCTTCGCCACGACGTAACCGACATAACGAATCAGACGAAGGACGTGTTGAACGAACAAGGGAAGGTGGAAGTGGACTTGGGGGGAAAGTCGGATTATTAGATGCGGACGCTTTGGAGAATGTTAGGTTTTACGCCGAGTTACGGAGGAAACAAGCGGAGGAGGTGAAGAAGAGGGAGAGTTTGAAAGTTGTCGGCCTCGGGGGAGGAAAAGGGAAAGGGAAAGGTGGGATGGCTCTTTTAGGAGGTTATGGGAGTGATGATGAGAGTGAGTGAGGATAGAACACATATCTTCTCTGGTTGGGTTTTGGGGGAAGTAGTAGAAGTAAAAGTATTCCATAGTGTTTCTCTCGAGTGAATGTATTATATATCATATGAATTTTATTGGAAAAAGGTGAATTTCAACAGCCAATCGTCATCAACAAAATGGATGTTTTTTCATCAGCCAAAAAGTCGTGTTTTTTCTCTCCTCTTTTTCACTCTTTTTCTCATCCTTCATCACTCTAGATACCCATTCTCGCTATACCATCTCAAGTGCACAAACGATATATAGAACGTAATTATTTAGACCACTTAGACAATAAATCTTTACACGTGAACATCTATAAATCAGGGTGGAACTTGAAGTAGAGGACCCACCTTGTCATTCCAACCTCTTTGGTCATCCTACTCCATCCACCATCCGACATCTACCTTCCACCTTTGGATATTCTGGACAAACTCATCTCGACTTTGGACCACCTACCACATATTTGTAAAGTCTAGACCTAGATCACTGATCATTGGCCTCACTGGAAGAATGGACTCATAGTTCACCTGGTGTCTCCACATTCCTCATTCCACATTCCACATTCCACCCCGTATACCCTTCTCCTTTACATTCCCCCTCCCTTACTCTATCCCTTTCATCCCATAAACTACTACCTAGATAAATACGACAGATAGAAACATATCATCCACCATTCCATAGCCCATAATCTAGATAACTTACGATAAAGGAGAAAACATAATCCGAATTGACCGAGGCATTATGTCCGACCCACCTACACCTTTAACACTCCCTATCAACCTTCCATACCCAATCATCATCACTCGTGTACATATAAAAACAGGTCAAGAGGTATCGAGAGGGACAACATTGTTGGAATACGCTTTCACACCTTTTAAACTACGACAATCATCGAATGACTTTTCTCTGGACTCAGATAGGTTTGGTATTCCCAGTGAGGATGAAGAAGTTGATATTGGTGAACTTGGAAATGGACCCGAAGGATTTCAGAATGGAATTGGAACTGAGATTGGTAAAGGACATAAATTGGAATTGAAAGAAGGTGATTTAATAGGGAGTTGGGAAAGTTCAATAGAGGGGAAGATTGAAAGTATAGAAAAGTTTATCAAAGTCGGGATGAAGTTAGAAGAGAGATATAGAGGGTAAGTCTCTCTTCTTCTTACAACAAATCATACTATGTTATGTGGGTTATTTTGATGGAGGTTATAAATGAGTACGAAGGGTTGAAAAGGAATGTATGGAAGAGTTGACATTATAGGAAAACAGCTTTACTGGTACAACAACCTTGTTCTCATCCTGTACAATTACATGGAATGTGTGGTGTATGCGGGGCGGATCTTCAAGTGTGAGTTATAAACATTATTTTTCTTTCATCATCTGAACTCGCTGAAGAGGATTGTCTACCATAATAAGAACACTCCTCATAAGTGCCCTCTTGGGACCTTATTTCTCAAGTGGGACGTTGCACTTATCATCTTGTGATTCCCTTGAGATCTCTCCCCGTTCCCGAGAGAGGTGTTTGCCTATCTATCTTGGGGAAACTTGAAACTTGATTATGGCATTGTCATTGGGAGAGATCTTGTATATGATTATAAGATTTTGACGCTGATAATAAGTGAAGATTACCTTTCTCCTTTTCAAGAATCAGAAGCTGGACCTTCTAGATATCCTGGAGGTTATGAAATAGGACATGATGCTACTGGTGTGACTGTCAATACAACTGTGAGTCATTGTGTGTGATTCGCTCTTCACATTGTCTAATTCAACTTTGATTAAGATACAATCTTTTCGCTCAAGTATTTTGATACCTACCCTTACCCCTTCATTCTCACAAAGACTTGTCATGTAATTCTAATCTATGAATATGCCACGGATATCTATAGAGCATCTCTCTCATCAAACTTTACGAAGTTTTTGAAATCATACTGTCGTCTTGACAATCTCCTTACCAAGAATAATTTTGACTTCGAGCTAACTACCAGGAAGCTAAACGTCTGGACGAAATCACTCGACTGGATCTTCTTTCACAACGTAAATTAAGTCTCATCGTTGATCTTGATCAAACTATCATACATACCACGGTTGATCCTACGGTTGAAGAATGGCTTATCGCTCTTCGTTCGGAACCATCTTTCCATTCTTCTCAAGTTTCCCCTCACTCTTCGCACGTTTCCCCTCACTCCCCACCCGTTTCCCCTCACTCCTCACCCGTTTCCCCTCACTCCCCATCCGTTTCCCCCCACTCTCCACACGTCTCTTATCACTCTTCTCCAGAAAACTCAGATGTTCCTCCTGTTCAGCAAAACTCGCAAGAAGGTCAAAGAACTGTCAGATCAACAACCCCAATAAACACACCTGATACTGTCTCTCCCAGTTCCCCCAATGTGGAAAGTAAGGATGGAGAGGAACGGTTGGAACGGCTAGAACGGACCGAAACCCAATCTTCCATCCCATCAAGATCGACAAATTCATCTTGGACAGACGAGGAGAATCCGAATGCTGAAGCTTTGAGAGATGTGGTGATGTTTAGTTTTGAAGATGAGTTGGATTTCGGTACGGCTGGACGAGATAGAAGGTATAGACCTAGACCTAGGAGATACTTTACCAAGCCTAGGTAAGTTCTCGTTGTCATATATCCTTCATTCGATCTTCTCGTACATGACGTTACCACAAAACCCTCCCTTGAGATACCTGCATCTTAGGGACTTTTCGTCGTCCTCAAATTACCGCCAACTCGAGCTACGATATCTCATCTCAACAATATGATCGTTAGTCCTCAAGCTCGATCTGATACGCTCGAAGAAGAGCGTCGTCCACATCAAATGAGATCACCAACAATGTTGGGATGACCTAGCTGATCTCAGACCCGGTCTTGCAAAGTTTTTAGAGGAGATGAACAAGTTGTACGAAATGCATGTGTACACCATGGGTACACGTACTTACGCAGAGGCTATCGTGGGTATTGTCGATCCTGAGGGTAAATATTTCGGCGGGAGGATTTTAAGTAGGGATGATAGTCGTAGTGAGTGATCATCCTTTGCTTTATTCATTATGGTCTGACCTCTCCCACATCAATCTGTCTTATCCCTTCAGCCCATCCCTCGTTTAGCAGCTAGCTCATTAGATATCCCCCGGAACTCCCCTGTGTAGTTCTGGATCACCCATATTTCCACCCATCAGTCTTCCAGTTCATATTCTGGGCAGGACACAAGCATCAGAGTACTTGCAGGACACAAACATCAGAGTACTTGAGAGGGATCATCTGACCCGACACAGATTTCACAACCAAAAACCTTAAACGTCTCTTTCCAACCGATACCAGTATGGTAGTCGTCATTGATGATCGTGCGGATGTTTGGGGTGATTGTCCTAATCTGGTCAAAGTTAGACCATATGATTTTTTCTTGGGTATAGGTGATATAAATTCTGCTTTTTTACCACCTGTTTCCCATGATTCTCCTACTTCCCCTTCTTCTCCTACATCCTCTACTTTACCTACACTTCCTATTCCTCCTAAACCTACATCTCTACACACTTTAGCGACGGGAGAAGAAGTTTCTCAGGAAGAAGAATTGTTATTACAACAGAAAATGTTGGATGAAGTTTCTGAAGAAAGACCTTTGGCGAAATTACAAGAGAAATTAGAAGATGCTTCGGTAATGACGGATGATCCTGACGTGATCACTCATCAATTTGGGAACGTCCCCGACTCGAATTTCGGAGTTGAACGGAAATTGGAGGATTCAAAAGCTGGTTCAGAAGGTGTGAAGAAGCTACATTTGCAGAATGAGGCCCGGACAAATAGTGCGGGCCAATTTATAAAGGGGGAATTGGGAAGAGAAATGTGGGAGGAAGAGAAAATGATAAGAATAAAAGAAGATAATGATGATGAATCTTCGGGAGAAAAGTTGGTTACAAGAGAATTTAAAAGAAAACCAACTTCAACACATGCTTTACCTAAAGTATTATTATTGGATCCGAATGATGATGAGTTGGATAGGGTCGAAAAGGTCAGTCTCTGACTTTCTTTAATATTATTATTCATCGTGATGTCTTTCTGGTTTTTTCACATGATCCTGAGTTTCTTGTTCGAAATCAGGATCTAAAATCTCTTCTTCCATCGCAGACATCAAAAGACTTTTAAAAATCTCCTTTTCCTGCATAAAGACACACGCATGATACTCTCCTTTTCCTGCAAATGTAGACAAATTTCTAAAACTCCACTTTCCTCATAGATATGGACCAACTTCTAAAACTCCCCCTTTTTCTTATAGATAAAGACAGACTTCTAGAATTACTCATTCCGCAAACGAGGACATTTTCGGTTACCGAAATAAGGGTGACATAAAACTAACACTTAGCTTCTACGACGAATACACCGAAAGTTCTACAACGCTTATGATCGTCGATTGTCAGATGTTGATATTCCTTTGGCTTGCGATTGCGAGGTGAGTGATTTGTCCTTTTCTCCTAAACCCCTGTATACCCTGTCATCCATTTTGAGCTGCTGCGTGGGTCTTGGTCGGTATCTGCCTCCTCCCTCCCTCCCTCGCAGTGCTCAGATGTCCCGCCAGGATTGGAAGCGTAAACACTGAACTCTGAATCGATGTGGTCTTCCCCCCATAATGACTTTCTATCACTTGTCACCGGCTCATCCGTGATATACGGAACATAAGCAAGAAGGAAGAAAGGGTCATGAGGGGAGACAAGAAAGAGTTGGAGATAGCTGATTGTTAGCTCATCATTCCCGAGATCAAAGCGCAGGTCTTTGACGGATGTTATTTCGTTTTCTCGGGTATCATAGCAAGAGATGTGGAACCGGAAACGTGAGTCCTCCGACTCCATTCTACCAGCTTCCATCGTCCACACCTTGTCCATTTCCCCACTCTCTGTGACATACACTCGACCGGTCTTTTTCACTGAAAGGCAATATCTGCAGCCTAAACCCACCACGGCCCTCGGCTTTACAGTGACTTGCGACATTCATGTAATCCCAGATCATAACTCCTAACCCCCCCCCCCCCACCCCCAAAGCAAGTTGTCAAAAAAAACATGAAGAAGAGCCCCTCAGTGGGTTTTAAGGGGGGTTTTGAATTAAACATAAATTAAGTGCGCAACTGTACATAGCCCAAGGAGGATTGTGGTACATGGGAAAGTTTTCAAGTCCACTTTCTCCGAAGACTCCCCCAAGGTAAGACCGCTCACGCACGGGGCTTTAAACCTATTGACCTTCCCTTTGCCTCGGCTTTCAAATTGTCTGGGGATTAAGCTTATCCTGACCTATGGTATATAGGGGAAACCAAGGAGAAAAATATTACTGTT